CCAGAGTCCACGGCGATAATCCTGCTGTGTAACTCCACCGATGACCCCCCCTCCACCCCCGCCGAATGTAAGAGGAGAAAAGGGGCTGCCTCTAATTGCAACGTGGGGGTGGGTAGGGAGGTCAGAGTCATCGCCTTCATCGGAAGGTGCAGCAAGAGTGGTTCTGGCAACGATTATCCCACACCGTCAATGTTGCACCTCGACGGTCAGGCCCACGACCTCGACGCAAAGTGTGGGTTCAGGCAGGGGCAACACTCACAAGAGCTGCTCAATTGCTTGGCCACGTGTGTGCGTGCGTGTGCTTTTGCCCGATGTTGTTTTTCTAAACTCTTGCGAAATGCACCTCTGCTTCATTTTGGCCCATAATTGTCAAGGCGCTCTTCTTCCACCTCCAACCCAGCTTATATATACGCTCCAAGCCTGGCAGTGTTTCATTCTTCACCTGAAGACGGCTGCTTGCGTTGTAGCCGAAACGTCGTGAGAATTATTTTATTGTGTTTTATTTTTATTATTTTATTACTTCCCTTCTACGTGACTTTACCGAAAGAATCAAGAAAATTGAGACACCGTTGACTATTGTGGGAAAGATTAAAGAGGGGAATCTATTTTGAGATGGATACAAATTTAAAAATAAAATTTACTTGAATCGAACGCATATCCGTAATGTAATCGTGCTTGGAAGAATATGATTAGAAAGTTTGGTGTTATTCAATCATCAACTATTGTAACATTCACAACACTGTGTTTTGAGCTTCAGCCATCATACTAATGGTATCGTGCTACAGCCTACTATATTCTATTAAACGATTAAATTTTACTAGGTAAGGCCACTGAGCTATGTAGCTCATTTTCACAAATGACCTGGCCGCAAATGATCGCCCAAAGAAGTGGCTTAACGCGTGGAAATTTATAGCAGCCAAATAATTTACACAAACCTTAATTGTAAATGTGGAGGGAAAAACCGGAGGACCCAGAGAAAAATCCATGCGACCACGTGCAGAGAGACACGCAAACTCCAAATATACAGCAGGCGTCAGGGTCGGGATCGAACCCACGGCCTCCTGTGTACCAGGCGAGGTAGTTAACATCTCCTAGCCACCGTGATGATGATGAGAGAGAGAGAGAGAGACACGCAAACTCCAAATATACAGCAGCAGGCGTCAGGGTCGGCATCGAACCCACGGCCTCCTGTATACCAGGCGAGGTAGTTAACATCTCCTAGCCACCGTGATGATGATGATGAGAGAGAGAGACACGCAAACTACAAATATACAGCAGCAGGCGTCAGGGTCGGGATCGAACCCACGGCCTCCTATATACCAGGCGAGGTAGTTAACATCTCACTACCGTGAGAGAAAGAGAGAGACACGCAAACTCCAAATATACAGCAGCAGGCGTCAGGGTCGGGATCGAACCCACGGCCTCCTGTGTACCAGGCGGGGTAGTTAACATCTCCTAGCCACCGTGGCACCCGCATAAATAAAAATAATGTTATAATAGATACATTTGTAATGTTAACATTTAGTTTATAAGCCATTTATCGACCTTGAACGAAGAGTGTAAATGCCACATTCCACATTCCACAGGGACATCTGTGGCGCTTTGAGAATGGCATGACACAAATTCTGTGCAGAGACCCGGCATAAAAGGTTTCACATTTTATGAAAAGTGAGCTTTGACATTAAAGCTCATATCTTACAAGTACCGTGAGTATATACATATGTAGACTTAGCGTATACGTAACACAATTTCGCGTGTCTTGAATCTCCTTTAAAATGACATATTTGTAAAGGTATTTATTCTACAGAACTGCAAATAACAATGGAATTGTGGAAAACGTTTGCAATGTTACCGTATAATTTCGATTTAAAGCTTTCGTGACTGCAGGGATTCATCTTATTGGTTCTTTCGGTAAAGTCACGTAGAATGGAAATAATAAAATAAAAATAATAAAATAATAAAATATTATTTTAAAGGAGATTCAAAATAATTATAATAAAATAGTATTTTATTATGTTTTATTATTATTATTTTATTATTTCCATTCTTCGTGACTTTACCGAAAGAACCAAGAAAATGTTACCGTATATAAATTATTTAACATTTTGATTGACAGGCCATACTATTCTTCACACACTGCATATTTTTTCATTTATATATATAAACAATGAAAGGCTGATGTGGCCCCCTATACATTCCAGACTTCTTTTAACAGCTCACAAATGTAAGGTGGTCGAGTTTGTTTGAATTAAAATGCCAATGAAATTGTTTATGCAGAAAAAGCCACACCACGTCACAGCGCTCATTTTCATTGGGTTTTTCTTTAGAAGTTGTTATCAGCCAATTAATGAACGTTCGTACGTGTTGAAGGAAGAGCCAGACAACAACAAAAAACACGCGCACAAAGGTGGAAACACACCATCCCCGTACAGATGGAAACGGATGGCGATCGGTCCGTTTGCTGTGGTGCCTTCTCCTGGCAAGCCAATGTTTACGGGCACCTCGTATGAATGCGATGTATGTTGAACTTTTTCCGCTCGAATCGGAGGTGCGGGGGAGAGGACAACAAACGAGACGCAAAAAAGGGCTTCCAAACAAATACATTTTCAAGCTCGATTTCAAAAAGTGCATCATAGCTCCGGCAGCTTCCTAATGTCGGATAGGAAGAGCGTTCCAGACGGCCGCAGAAGCGCATCTGGAAACGCCGTGCGATGCGGTGACCGCCGTCTCTGTGTGATGGTTTAGCCACCGGCCGCCGCAGTTCGCGTGATGATGGTGTGCATGCTCCTTTGACGAGATCAGCGAGGGTTATCTATCGTGGCTCATCTGCGGAGTAACCGCGTGTGTTCGGCAAGCGGATGCCAATGCAGCTCGGCATAGCGCAGGACGGTTGTTGATAGGATTTTTAAGTCCCATCGCTTCATCGGCGTCTCAGCGCAGGTTGGTTTCGATGGCACCGTCCGTGGTCGTGGCGAGGCACGCCGATTTTAACTGTGGGGTGGACACGTGCATGCAGGGCAACCAGTGCGGGATTATCGTAGTAGCACAAGTAGCTACATAATGCTACGTGCCCCGCACTTTCAAAGACCCCCGCGCTAAATTATTTCAAGCTATCAATTGTGATTTTGACTTAAAGCTTTCGTGACTGCAGGAATTCGTAGATAGGTTCGAAAGAAAATAACAAAAAAATAACAAAAAACTACTATTAATTCAAGTTCAGTGATTCTGCACTTGCTCTATTACTATATAGTACTACACCGCATTACACTTTTATGAACGACTGGGTGTTTAAGGTTAGCGATCTGTCGTATGATCTGGCCATACAGCAAATTAAATATCACAATTATTCAACGGTGCAAGTAAAAATATGTTTTTAATGTTTTGATAATTTAGGGTCTCTTTATAACATACGCTACAGGCCCCGCACCAGCTTAATCCGGCACTGAAGGCAAGTGCTATGATTTGACATCGACGTGGTTTGATGAGTGGGATGATTGCGGCCAGGATTTTTGGCGTGGTGGCAAATCATCGCTGTGCCGATGCCCTCAGAATTTTTTTTTGCGAAAGCCACTGTTCTCTCCGTTCTGGGTGGTGACCCACAGGCCCACCGCACACTGCCGGAGAGGGTTTTCTTTTTCGATTTAAAGCTTTCGTGACTGCAGGGATTCATCTTCTTGGTTCTTTCGGTAAAGTCACGTAGAATGGAAATAATAAATACATATGCTAAATTCCTCTTGATATGCAAATTATTTTGTCAAGGCGCTCTTCACCCCTCCATCCCAGCTTAAATAGTCGCTCCAAGTCTTCTCGACAGACATGTTCTCCACCTGAGGGCGTCTGCTTGCGTTGTGGCCGAAACGTCGTGAGAATTATTTTATTATGTTTTATTTTTATTATTTTATTATTTCCATTCTACGTGACTTCACCGACAGAACCAAGAAGAGGGTTTTCTTTGTTTGTTGTTGTTAATCGTCCATTCGGACGTCGCTGTCGTCGACGTCGGGGTGTCTGCGTCTGCCGTCATGGCGCGCGCAGCGCACGCGGTTTCGAGGTCGTGGGCCAATGAGCTTCGTCGAAGGTCCAAGACGGGGGGGGGGGCGGGGGACGGAGGAATCTCCGTCGGGGTCTTTCATGGGCGTGTGACGCTGCTGTTGTGACGCTGCTGTTGATGGTGACGCGGTGTTGATGGTGACGCGGTGTTGATGGTGTTGATGGTCATGCTGTGTTGATGGTGTTGATGGTGATGCTGTGTTGATGGTGTTAATGGTGATGCTGTGTTGATGGTGTTGATGGTCATGCTGTGTTGATGGTGTTGATGGTGATGCTGTGTTGATGGTGTTAATGGTGATGCTGTGTTGATGGTGTTGATGGTCATGCTGTGTTGATGGTGTTGATGGTCATGCTGTGTTGATGGTGTTGATGGTGATGCTGTGTTGATGGTGTTGATGGTGATGTTGTGTTGATGGTGTTAATGGTGATGCTGTGTTGATGGTGTTGATGGTCATGCTGTGTTGATGGTGTTGATGGTCATGCTGTGTTGATGGTGTTGATGGTGATGCTGTGTTGATGGTGTTGATGGTGATGTTGTGTTGATGGTGTTGATGGTGATGCTGTGTTGATGGTGTTGATGGTCATGCTGTGTTGATGGTGTTGATGGTCATGCTGTGTTGATGGTGTTGATGGTCATGCTGTGTTGATGGTGTTGATGGTGATGCTGTGTTGATGGTGTTGATGGTGATGTTGTGTTGATGGTGTTGATGGTGATGGTGTTGATGGTCATGCTGTGTTGATGGTGTTGATGGTGATGCTGTGTTGATGGTGTTGATGGTGATGTTGTGTTGATGGTGTTGATGGTGATGTTGTGTTGATAGTGATGCTGTGTTGATGGTGTTGATGGTGATGCTGTGTTGATGGTGTTGATGGTGATGCTGTGTTGATGGTGTTGATGGTGATGCTGTGTTGATGGTGTTGACGGCGACCCTGCGTCTGTGCGCGTGAAGGCCGCGGCGACCGCGGCGGACCTCATGGAGGAGCTGGAGCAGAAGGGCTCCTTCACGCTGCTCGCGCCCACCAACGAGGCCTTCGAGAGGCTCCCCAAGGAGGTCCTCACACGCATCCTGGGGGACCCCGAGGCCCTGAAGGGTACGCGGGGTAGGGGGGGGTGGTGGGGGTGGGGGGGTGGTGGGGGTGGGTGGGTGGGTTGGGGTGGGGGTGCTGGGTGGGAGTGGTGGGTGGGGGTGGGTGGGTTGGAGGTGGGGTGGGGCTGGTAGGTGGGTGGGTTGGGGTGGGGGTGGTTGGGGTGGGTGAGGGTGGTGGGGTGGTGGGGGTGGGGGTGGTTGTTGGGGTGGGTTGGGGCTAGTGGGGGTGGGTGGGTGATTTGGGGTGAGTGGGGGTGGTATGGGTGGGGGGGTGTGGTGGTGTGTGGGTGGGGTGGGGGTGGTGGGGGTGGGTGAGGGTAGTGGGGGTTGTGGGGAGGTGGGGGTGGTGGGGTGGGTGGGGTGGTGTGTGGGTGGGGGTGGGTGTGGTGGGGGTGCTGGGTGGGGGTGGTGGGTGGTGGAGGTGGTGGGGTGGTGGTGTAGGTGGGTGGGGTGGCAGCCTCAAACCCCCTACGCCGGATCGCAGGTGGTGTGACTGGGGATGATACGAAGCGGCAGCGCCAGGGATGTGCAGGAAGGAGGTGCAGTGTTAAGTCTATGGGCAGTGTTGAGTCTATGGGCAGTGTTGAGTCTATGGGCAGTGTTGAGTCTATGGGCAGTGTTGAGTCTATGGGTAGTGTTGAGTCTATGGGTAGTGTTGAGTCTATGGGCAGTGTTGAGTCTATGGGTAGTGTTGAGTCTATGGGTAGTGTTGAGTCTATGGGCAGTGTTGAGTCTATGGGCAGTGTTGTGTCTATGGGTAGTGTTAAGTCTATGGGTAGTGTTAAGTCTATGGGCAGTGTTGAGTCTATGGGTAGTGTTGAGTCTATGGGCAGTGTTGAGTCTATGGGCAGTGTTGAGTCTATGGGCAGTGTTAAGTCTATGGGCAGTGTTGAGTCTATGGGCAGTGTTGAGTCTATGGGCAGTGTTGAGTCTATGGGCAGTGTTGAGTCTATGGGTAGTGTTGAGTCTATGGGTAGTGTTGAGTCTATGGGCAGTGTTGAGTCTATGGGCAGTGTTGTGTCTATGGGTAGTGTTGAGTCTATGGGCAGTGTTGAGTCTATGGGCAGTGTTGAGTCTATGGGCAGTGTTGAGTCTATGGGTAGTGTTGAGTCTATGGGCAGTGTTGAGTCTATGGGTAGTGTTGAGTCTATGGGCAGTGTTGAGTCTATGGGCAGTGTTGAGTCTATGGGCAGTGTTGAGTCTATGGGCAGTGTTGAGTCTATGGGCAGTGTTGAGTCTATGGGTAGTGTTGAGTCTATGGGTAGTGTTGAGTCTATGGGTAGTGTTGAGTCTATGGGTAGTGTTGAGTCTATGGGTAGTGTTGAATCTATGGGTAGTGTTGAGTCTACGGGCAGTGTTGAGTCTATGGGTAGTGTTGAGTCTATGGGTAGTGTTGAGTCTATGGGTAGTGTTGAGTCTATGGGTAGTGTTGAGTCTATGGGCAGTGTTGAGTTTATGGGCTGTGTTGAGTCTATGGGCAGTGTTGAGTCTATGGGTAGTGTTGAGTCTATGGGCAGTGTTGAGTCTATGGGTAGTGTTGAGTCTATGGGCAGTGTTGAGTCTATGGGCAGTGTTGAGTCTATGGGTAGTGTTGAGTCTATGGGTAGTGTTAGTCTATGGGCAGTGTTGAGTCTATGGGCAGTGTTGAGTCTATGGGTAGTGTTGAGTCTATGGGCAGTGTTGAGTCTATGGGCAGTGTTGAGTCTATGGGCAGTGTTGAGTCTATGGGTAGTGTTGAGTCTATGGGCAGTGTTGAGTCTATGGGCAGTGTTGAGTCTATGGGTAGTGTTAGTCTATGGGCAGTGTTGAGTCTATGGGCAGTGTTGAGTCTATGGGCAGTGTCGAGTCTATGGGCAGTGTTGAGTCTATGGGTAGTGTTGAGTCTATGGGCAGTGTTGAGTCTATGGGTAGTGTTGAGTCTATGGGCAGTGTTGAGGCTTTGGACTGTGTTGAGTATATGGGTAGTGTTGAGTCTATGGGCAGTGTTGAGTCTATGGGTAGTGTTGAGTCTATGGGTAGTGTTGAGTCTATGGGTAGTGTTGAGTCTATGGGTAGTGTTGAGTCTGTGGGTAGTGTTGAGTCTGTGGGTAGTGTTGAGGCTATGGACTGTGTTGAGTATATGGGTAGTGTTGAGTCTATGGGTAGTGTTGAGTCTGTGGGTAGTGTTGAGTCTGTGGGTAGTGTTGAGTCTATGGGTAGTGTTGAGGCTATGGACTGTGTTGAGTATATGGGTAGTGTTGAGTCTGTGGGTAGTGTTGAGGCTATGGACTGTGTTGAGTATATGGGTAGTGTTGAGTCTATGGGTAGTGTTGAGTCTGTGGGTAGTGTTGAGTCTGTGGGTAGTGTTGAGTCTATGGGTAGTGTTGAGGCTATGGACTGTGTTGAGTCTATGGGTAGTGTTGAGTCTGTGGGTAGTTTTGACTTAAAACTTTATTGACTGCAGGAATTAATATTATTTGGCTATTTCAGTAAAGTCACGTAGATAGAAAAATAAGAATAAAAAAGAAAGTGAATACAAATAAAATAAACAGTACACTCACCCAGCTTAATAACCATTGCAACAGTCTATATTATAGAGTGCCAGTACACTCACCAAACTTAATAACCAGGCTAAAGTCTACATTATAGACTGCCAGTACACTCACTCCGATTAAGAACCAGGCTACAGTCTACATTCGTGTTTTTTTATTATTTTTATTCACTTTATTTTAATATTATTATTTTTCTATGGGTTGTGTTGGGTATGTGTGCAGTGTTGAGCCTGTGGGTAGTTTTTGTCTATGGACAGTGTTGAGTCAATGGACAGTGTTGAGTCTATGGCCAGTATGTAGGTACGTTGAACTTCATTCGCACCGTACGTAGCTAACCGTGCCAATTGGAAGTGTGGTCATCAAGTTGCTCTTCTCAGAGGGATGTTGATGGTCGTCAACGAAGCCCGCCCCCTCTTTCCTGCCCCGACTGTCACCGCTACCCAATGCTGCTGCTGCTGTTGCTGTGCAAACTCGCACACTCATTCCCCTGCCACAACCTCCACCCGCTACCAAAACTCGCCCAAGTCCCATGTCTGGGTGGATGGGCTGGGCCTACAGAAAGCAGAGGTCGCAAACGGGTTTTGATTCCTTACCCGTACCCGTACCCGGCCGCACCAGGGTCGCAAATGGGTACCCGTACCCGGCCGGGTATGGATACCCGTTCCCTACCCGTACCCTACCCGTACCCGTACCCTACCCGAAATGAGTGACAAACGGTTACTCACCAGTGACTCACGGCCCACCCGTACCCATACCCGGCCGCACCAGGGTCGCAAACGGGTGTCCCGTACCCGTACCCAGCCGGGTACGGGTAGCCGGGTATCGGGTAGGGTACGGGTATCGGGTACCCGGTTGCGACCTCTGACAGAAAAAGACGGGGGGGCCTAAGAAGAAAGGGCGGGGCTTTTAAAAAGGTATCGGTGCAGAGTGTGGAAAGGAGGAAACGATTTGGGCACAATCAGGAAAGGTTGGGGCACAATCAGGAAAGGGTGGGGCCTAAAGAGAATGAAGCGGGGCATGAATAGGAAGAACCCCAGGACTACAGAGGTTGAACTTTCCTGTTGATTTGAGACAATTAAAGCGTATAATTAAATAGGTGGCAGCATAGCTTCAGTGTCACAGATGTAGCCACTGGCCAACCAGTTATTTGTATTGATCCAGAAAGGTTGAGAGGCAGAGTCGGCTTCATAACCGGGATTTGAGCTCTCAACCTCGCGAATGTGAATCAAGCGCTTAAACCATATGGGGCCACTTAGGCCAGGTGTGATTTTACATCCTCTTGGATCCTCGAATGGCAATGTGGAATTTACACACTCGTTTCAGGGCTGCCTAATGGATGCGATTGCGAGGAGACTCTGGTGGCCTGGACTTTGAACGTTTGAATGTTCATTGATTGCACAGATCGTGCATTGATGAACGCCCCCGCAAAACAACGGCTTGCGAATCACACGGAGATGATAAAAATCTACGATGAACATCGGCCACTCGCCTGCCAGAGTTTGAACTTGTTTCCACTCGCATGAACGGATGTTTATGAGTGTTTCTACTTCTGAAATTCTTAAACAATGACTGAGCTTTTGAAACAATTTCCAGCCAACCAAATTGCTTTCGTCCCACTTTTGGGCCACATTGAAAGTAAAACAAATGTAGAAAGGGAAGTGTCGCAATTTTAATTGATAAATAAACACTCTCGCCTAATGTTTAGTGCATTCCTGCCCATCACATCGCAACATGTGGTAAAAGTCGGTGCAAAAACAAGTGCAATGACCTCCAATTGGGAAACCATAACACCAGCTCAGTACGACGACAGCCAGCAACATGATTACTCATGCAGAATGCAGGATGCGTGCTGTGACGTGTCTTCACAACACACGCTCAAGAACACACGAGCCTCTGTACACGATCAACGTCAAGAGATATAAGGGAGGGTCAAAGTGGTCGTTGCTTTGCGCTCGTTTCCTGACCCACAGTTGGGAATTCCAAACGCCATTGGTGGGAATTCCACTTGTCATTGGTGGGAATTCCACATGTCATTGGTGGGAATTCCACATGTCATTGGTGGGAATTCCACATGTCATTGGTGGGAATTCCACTTGCGATTGGTGGGAATTCCACTTGCTACTGGTGGGAATTCTACATGCCATTGGTGGGAATTCCACTTGCCATTGGTGGGAATTACACATGTCACTGGTGGGAATTCCACTTGTCATTGGTGGGAATTCCACTTGCCATTGGTGGGAATTCCACTTGCCATTGGTGGGAATTCCACATGTCATTGGTGGGAATTCCACTTGCGATTGGTGGGAATTCCACTTGCTACTGGTGGGAATTCTACATGCCATTGGTGGGAATTCCACTTGCCATTGGTGGGAATTACACATGTCACTGGTGGGAATTCCACTTGTCATTGGTGGGAATTCCACTTGCCATTGGTGGGAATTCCACATGTCATTGGTGGGAATTCCACTTGTCACTGGTGGGAATTCCACTTGCCATTGGTGGGAATTCCACTTGCCATTGGTGGGAATTACACTTGTCACTGGTGGGAATTCCACTTGTCATTGGTGGGAATTCCACATGTCATTGGTGGGAATTCCACTTGCCATTGGTGGGAATTACACTTGTCACTGGTGGGAATTCCACTTGCCATTGGTGGGAATTCCACTTGCCATTGGTGGGAATTACACTTGTCACTGGTGGGAATTCCACATGTCATTGGTGGGAATTCCACTTGCCATTGGTGGGAATTCCACTTGCCATTGGTGGGAATTCCACATGTCATTGGTGGGAATTCCACATGTCACTGGTGGGAATTCCACTTGTCACTGGTGGGAATTCCACTTGCCATTGGTGGGAATTCCACTTGTCACTGGTGGGAATTCCACTTGTCACTGGTGGGAATTCCACTTGTCACTGGTGGGAATTCCACTTGTCATTGGTGGGAATTCCACTTGTCACTGGTGGGAATTCCACTTGTCACTGGTGGGAATTCCACTTGTCACTGGTGGGAATTCCACTTGTCACTGGTGGGAATTCCACATGTCATTGGTGGGAATTCCACTTGCCATTGGTGGGAATTCCACTTGCCATTGGTGGGAATTCCACATGTCATTGGTGGGAATTCCACATGTCACTGGTGGGAATTCCACTTGTCACTGGTGGGAATTCCACTTGCCATTGGTGGGAATTCCACTTGTCACTGGTGGGAATTCCACTTGTCACTGGTGGGAATTCCACTTGTCACTGGTGGGAATTCCACTTGTCACTGGTGGGAATTCCACTTGTCACTGGTGGGAATTCCACTTGTCATTGGTGGGAATTCCACTTGTCACTGGTGGGAATTCCACTTGTCACTGGTGGGAATTCCACTTGTCACTGGTGGGAATTCCACTTGTCACTGGTGGGAATTCCACATGTCATTGGTGGGAATTCCACTTGCCATTGGTGGGAATTCCACTTGCCATTGGTGGGAATTCCACATGTCATTGGTGGGAATTCCACATGTCACTGGTGGGAATTCCACTTGCGATTGGTGGGAATTCCACTTGCCATTGGTGGGAATTCCACATGTCATTGGTGGGAATTCCACATGTCACTGGTGGGAATTCCACTTGTCACTGGTGGGAATTCCACTTGTCACTGGTGGGAATTCCACTTGTCATTGGTGGGAATTCCACTTGTCACTGGTGGGAATTCCACTTGTCACTGGTGGGAATTCCACTTGTCACTGGTGGGAATTACACTTGTCACTGGTGGGAATTCCACATGTCATTGGTGGGAATTCCACTTGCCATTGGTGGGAATTCCACTTGCCATTGGTGGGAATTCCACATGTCATTGGTGGGAATTCCACATGTCACTGGTGGGAATTCCACTTGCCATTGGTGGGAATTCCACTTGTCACTGGTGGGAATTCCACTTGCCATTGGTGGGAATTCCACTTGTCACTGGTGGGAATTCCACTTGTCACTGGTGGGAATTCCACATGTCACTGGTGGGAATTCCACTTGTCACTGGTGGGAATTCCACTTGTCACTGGTGGGAATTCCACTTGTCACTGGTGGGAATTCCACTTGTCACTGGTGGGAATTCCACTTGTCACTGGTGGGAATTCCACTTGTCACTGGTGGGAATTCCACTTGTCACTGGTGGGAATTCCACTTGTCATTGGTGGGAATTCCACATGTCATTGGTGGGAATTCCACATGTCACTGGTGGGAATTCCACATGTCATTGGTGGGAATTCCACATGTCACTGGTGGGAATTCCACTTGTCACTGGTGGGAATTCCACTTGTCACTGGTGGGAATTCCACTTGCCATTGGTGGGAATTCCACTTGTCACTGGTGGGAATTCCACTTGTCACTGGTGGGAATTCCACTTGTCACTGGTGGGAATTCCACTTGTCATTGGTGGGAATTCCACTTGTCACTGGTGGGAATTCCACTTGTCACTGGTGGGAATTCCACTTGTCACTGGTGGGAATTCCACTTGTCATTGGTGGGAATTCCACTTGTCACTGGTGGGAATTCCACTTGTCATTGGTGGGAATTCCACTTGTCACTGGTGGGAATTCCACTTGTCACTGGTGGGAATTCCACTTGTCACTGGTGGGAATTCCACTTGTCACTGGTGGGAATTCCACTTGTCACTGGTGGGAATTCCACTTGTCACTGGTGGGAATTCCACTTGTCACTGGTGGGAATTCCACTTGCCATTGGTGGGAATTCCACTTGTCACTGGTGGGAATTCCACATGTCATTGGTGGGAATTCCACTTGTCACTGGTGGGAATTCCACTTGTCACTGGTGGGAATTCCACTTGCCACTTGTGGCATTCCACGTGTCACTGGTGGGAATTCCACATGTCAGTATTTGGGAAACGCACATGTCATTGGTGGGAATTCCACATGCCATTGGTGGGAATTCCACTTGCGATTGGTGGGAATTCCACTTGCCATTGGTGGGAATTCCACTTGCGATTGGTGGGAATTCCACTTGCCATTGGTGGGAATTCCACTTGCGATTGGTGGGAATTCCACTTGCCATTGGTGGGAATTCCACTTGCGATTGGTGGGAATTCCACATGTCATTGGTGGGAATTCCACTTGCCATTGGTGGGAATTCCACTTGCGATTGGTGGGAATTCCACTTGCCATTGGCGGGAATTCCACATGCATTGGTCGGAATTCCACATGTCATTGTTTGGGAAACCCACTTGTCACTGGTGGGAATTCTACATGCCATCGGTGGAAATTCCACGTGCTGATGACAAGATATTCACTGTTCACCTTTGAGACAATCTCATTTAATCACTACACTTAAACTCGAACTTTTTTTCATCACGGAGGTTGATCGGTTCTACCGGTGATTTAAACAGTGGCCCTGTTCGATATTGCAATAGTGTCCCAGAAGGTTATTTTAATTTCTTATTAGTTGTATTTTTACATTGTTCATTATTAAATGTGTCTAATGGTTGTTGTAGATTTATGTAAAGAAATAGCTAGGCCTGTGCTTCACGAACTCAATTGACAAGCGATAAAAATTAACCCGTAAAAACAAAGTTTTTCACTATAAATCCTTTATATGCGTGGCGGCTAGAGTCCTCTCGTCCTCTGGCTTGAGATGGCTGCCACCTATGGGTCAGATGATTGCATTGCACCATTAAGAAATTGGTAATTCAATATAATATTTTTGTCCTAAAAATTGTAAAATTTTGGAATTTTTTTTTTCACGAACATTAATTATCACGCACAACGAGTCTGTGTGCAAAATGTCAGCTCGATTGGATCACGGGAAGTGGGTTAAAAAAACGACCGAAAGATTTGCACGGTCCTAAGCAAGCAAGCGAACTTAATATAAAGGATAAAAAAAAAGCGTTGACCTCCAACGAAGTGACTCTCTCCTAGGATGGAGGGGGCCGAGTCGGGCATCCGAATGGAATTTGAACTCTGATTTTGAAGTGGGGACCTCGCGAGTGGCGTTGGCGGACTGCTTCAGATGACACCGATTGCTGGATGGCGAAATAACATCGAGGGCGCTTGAGCTACCCGATGTTTGTGAAGTTAGTTCAACACGTGGTAGGTTTTCGTGACAAATATTATCCATAATAGAGGATTTTGGGTTAGATCGCGTAAATATAAATGTGTCGTTATACCCGCCACCACACGACACAGCCAATTAGTAAGGGTTGTCACGTAAACAAATCACGCCAATTCGTTTCAACGGTAACTACAACCAGCATCATCAGGCGACAGCCAGAGTTGTGGAGAAATCCTCCTGTTTCATCGTTAAATAGCGGGATAAATGCGATGTCGTCACTTGTGGGCCGATCAGGTACGAAGACCAGAAGGGGGTGGGATTGGGTGGCGGAGGTTTATGTGTGCGTTGTGACGTTGCCGTACATTTGAGTCACATCTGTTTGCGTCGTCCGTTCCTAACCATGATGCCCCCCCCCCTTCTCTGCCCGCTGTCCCGCTCGCAGCTGTGATCAACAACCACATCCTGGACTCGGTGCAGTGCTCGGAGGCCATACTGGGCAACAGCGTGGTGGACTCACGCGAGGGCAGCCCCACGACGCTCGGATGCGAGGGTGGAGAGTTCCGAATCAACGGCTTGAGCAGCGTGGCCCAGCGGGACCTGGTCGCGACCAACGGCGTAGTGCACACCATCGGCGATGTCCTCATCCCCGACTCTGGTGCGAACGCTCGGCGGCACGCGCGTGCGAACGCGTGCGCGCGTTCGCGCGTTGGGAAAACTTACGTTTCGATTTAAAGCTTTCGTGACTGCAGGGATTCATCTTCTTGGTTCTTTCGGTAAAGTCACGTAGAAGGGAAGTAATAAAATAATAAAAACAAAACATAACAAAATAATATAATATAATTCTCACCTGAGGACGGCTGCTTGCGTTGTGGCCGAAACGTCGTGAGAATTATTTTATTATGTTTTATTTGTATTATTTTATTATTTCCCTTCTACGTGACTTTACCGAAAGAACCAAGAAGATGAATCCCTGCAGTCACGAAAGCTTTAAATCGAAATTTTATTATTTTTATTTTTATTATTTTATTACTTCCCTTCTACGTGACTTTACCGAAAGAACCAAGAAGATGAAACTTAGGTTTGTTGGGAGGGATGGGGGAGGGGGATAAAAAGGAGGGAGAGGTTCAAGTCGCGAGATGTCATTTTTTTGGGGGGGTTTTGCGTGAAGCTCACAACTTTTCGTGAGCGAGCCCCCGATGTGCAGGGCATGTTGGCCGTGGTGCGCGTGTGCGTGTGTGTGTGTGTGCGTGTGTGTGTGTGCGTGTGCGTGTGTGCGTGCGTGTGTGCGCGTGTGCGTGTGTGCGTGTGTGCGTGCGCATGTGCGTGTGTGTGCGTGTGTGTGTGCGTGCGTGTGTGTGTGCGTGTGTGTGTGTGCGTGTGTGTGCGTGTGTGTGTGTGCGTGTGTGTGTGTGCGTGCGTGTGTGCGTGTGTGAGTGCGTGTGTGTGTGTGTGCATGTGTGTGTGTGTGTGCGTGTGTGTGTGTGTGAGTGCGTGTGTGTGCGCGCGTGTGTGTGTGTGTGCGTGTGTGTGCGCGTGTGTGTGTGTGCGGGGAGCGATGTACAGCGGCTTAGCGCGCTGCGAACCCGGCGACCCGAGTTCGATTCCCGCTCATGGCCAACACCAGTGATGAATATCTGAACCGGCCCTGGGCCTCCCCTAGATCGACTCAGCCTCAAATGAGTACCTGGGATGTGTAATCATTGTCACTCGCGGATAAAGGCGGCCGGGCGTTGCGTTGGCCACCCACCCCCTCGTGTGCCGTGCCGGCCTTCATTTTACCGGGATAAGGCCCACTAGGCTATGTAGCTCTTTTTCATAAGAGTCCTGGCCACAAAATGATAGCTGAACGAATTGTCTTATAATCACGTGGAACATTCACAGCAGCCAAAAGGACAATGTCGATTCTAAACGTGGAGGGAAAAGCCCAAGGGCCCGGGGAAAAATCCACGCGACCACGTGGAGAGAGACCTGCATACTCAAATATACAGCAGCAGGCATCGTCAGGGTCGGGATCGAACCCACGACCTCCTGCATACCAGGCGAGGTAGTTAACATCTTGCCGCAGTGGTTTTGATGAATGACCACGAGGCATCCCAGGTGATGATTCACGTCCGCCACTGGAATGACAGGCCAGCCACCGATAGTTTTTTGCAAGCACGACCTCCTGCATACCAGGCGAGGTAGTTAACATCTCGCCGCAGTGGTTTTGATGAATGACCACGAGGCATCCCAGGTGATGATTCACGTCCGCCACTGGAATGACAGGCCAGCCAGCGGTAGTTTGTTGCAAGCACGACCTCCTGCATACCAGGCGAGGTAGTTAACATCTCGCCGCAGTGGTTTTGATGAATGACCACGAGGCATCCCAGGTGACGATTCACGTCCACCACTGGAATGACAGGCCAGCCACCGATAGTTTTTTGCAAGCACGACCTCCTGCATACCAGGCGAGGTAGTTAACATCTCGCCGCAGTGGTTTTGATGAATGACCACGAGGCATCCCAGGTGATGATTCACGTCCGCCACTGGAATGACAGGCCAGCCAGCGGTAGTTTGTTGCAAGCACGACCTCCTGCATACCAGGCGAGGTAGTTAACATCTCGCCGCAGTGGTTTTGATGAATGACCACGAGGCATCCCAGGTGATGATTCACGTCCGCCACTGGAATGACAGGCCAGCCAGCGGTAGTTTGTTGCAAGCACGACCTCCTGCATACCAGGCGAGGTAGTTAACATCTCGCCGCAGTGGTTTTGATGAATGACCACGAGGCATCCCAGGTGACGATTCACGTCCACCACTGGAATGACAGGCCAGCCACCGATAGTTTTTTGCAAGCACGACCTCCTGCATACCAGGCGAGGTAGTTAACATCTCGCCGCAGTGGTTTTGATGAATGACCACGAGGCATCCCAGGTGATGATTCACGTCCGCCACTGGAATGACAGGCCAGCCAGCGGTAGTTTGTTGCGAGCACGACCTCCTGCATACCAGGCGAGGTAGTTAACATCTCGCCGCAGTGGTTTTGATGAATGACCACGAGGCATCCCAGGTGATGATTCACGTCCGCCTCTGGAATGACAGGCCAGCCACCGATAGTTGGTTGCGAGCACGACCTCCTGCATACCAGGCGATGTAGTTAACATCTCGCCGCAGTGGTTTTGATGAATGACCACGAGGCATCCCAGGTGATGATTCACGTCCGCCACTGGAATGACAGGCCAGCCAGCGGTAGTTTGTTGCGAGCACGACCTCCTGCATACCAGGCGAGGTAGTTAACATCTCGCCGCAGTGGTTTTGATGAATGACCACGAGGCATCCCAGGTGATGATTCACGTCCGCCTCTGGAATGACAGGCCAGCCACCGATAGTTTTTTGCAAGCACGACCTCCTGCATACCAGGCGAGGTAGTTAACATTTCGCCGCAGTGGTTTTGATGAATGACCACGAGGCATCCCAGGTGATGATTCACGTCCGCCTCTGGAATGACAGGCCAGCCAGCGGTAGTTTGTGGCAAGCAGGGCAATTCCACTGTCCCACGTGGGGCCGAACGCGATCGCTGTTTTCTCAGCGGTGACGATAACACAATTTTGACGAGATTGAAAAGGCATCAGGCACATTGAGTATAGAGGCATGTGTAATGGAATTCATATCTAGCTCTGAATATCGCATACGCACGAAGCGCCGACCGACGCTCCAAGAGAAAAGCACTTAACGCAACCGCCCCTTTGTTTATTTTCGCTCTCAGGTGTGTGTTTTTATCTTTTTTGTTACTTTTTTTCTTCCAGCCGTGTCATTTATTTTGGTTTGTACCGCTTTGACGCCGACTATACTGTCGGCATTGCGTCGCGAGAGGCCACGTGTCAGCGCCCGGGGTCCTCTTGCGGTGTGCGGGGTAGGGCTGAACGATTAATCGATTTCAAATCGATATCTCAATTTGAAACGATGGGATTAGCAAATCGCAAAAGCTGAGATTTTTTGCGATTTGAAAAGTCCTAAAACTTCCTTATTGGAATCGCTTAATTTTTTATTATTATAACTTAATTTTTTGCGATTTGAAAAATCCAATTACTTCCTTATTGTAATCGCTAATTTTTTTTATAATTATAACTTAATTTAACTTAACATTTGTTCTATATTTGATTGTTCTATTTCATTTTTTTTTCAAAAATACATGTTGGAAGCAATTCATCTATTGTAAGTTCTCATCCTCGCATTAGAATATATAGAGCAGTTCATATTTTGACGGTACCATGTGGTAATGCTCCATCACATGTTTTCAATCTATTACACAGTGGATATTGAACTGAAGCTTGACTTGAAAAAATGTAATCTAAAATCAAATCGCAAAATCTGTCAGAAAAATCGCAAAGAGATTTTTTCCGCCAAATCGTTCATCCGTAGTGCGGTGGCGGGGGGCGGTGGTGGTGGATGGATCTCCCTGCCACCTTCATGTCTGGGAGAGAACGGCCCGTGGAAGCGAATATTACAGAGCTGCATCTGAGACGCCTTCTTAGAGTGAACCTCTGGTTCACGCGCAGCAGATGCGTCACTCTCCCAGACCATTCAGCGTCGTAGGGTGAGGTTTTGCCGCAAGGCCATCGAGACGATATTTGATTTTTGTTTCAGGACTGGAGGAATGAAGCCAAGGAGGCGAGTGCAGAGCACAAACATTTGACGCGGTGATTGTGTTGCCTCGTGCGGTCATTGGCGATGGGGGCTGCTGAACATGAATTCCCGAGGCGCGAGAACCAATTTGAATCATCATTTATTTGGCAATACTGAATTGGCAGCGATGCACAAGCAGCAGCAACGGCGAAAAACAACAGCAGCAGAACTGAACACATCTAGCAATAACACTGTGGTCTCAGCAGTAAAAAAATTAACCCGTAAAAACAAAGTTTTTCACTATAAATCCTTTATATGCGTGGCGGCTAGAGTCCTCTCGTCCTCTGGCTTGAGATGGCTGCCACCTATGGGTCAGATGATTGCCTGCCAGCATTAAGCAATTGGTAATTAAATATTTAATTTATTTTTTCCTAAAAAGTGTAAAATTTTGGAACAAAAAATTTCACGAAAATAAATTGTCACGCACAACGAGTCTGTGTGCAAAATGTCAGCTCGATTGGATCACGGGAAGTGGGTTTTAAAACGACCGAAAGATTTGCACGGTCGTAAGCGCGCAAGCAAGCATGCAAGTGAACTTAATATAAAGGATTTTAAAAAAGTACATGACAGGTGACGTTTCGGGTAATGAGCCTTCTTGAGAGCACATAAATGACTCTCACCCGTTGGCCTCTCTATGCGCAGTGGAGAAGAGCCATTGCCTAAAGCGTGACGCGTTGTAAACGTTTGCACGTACGTGTGTTGAACTTCTTTCGCGCCGTACATAGCCAATAGTCGCTAAATACGAGGTGCGGCAAGGGGGTGGCGGGGAATTACAACGGAAACTAAACCCAACCAAACAAAAAACAGTTGTCAAAAAAAAACAGTTGTTTCAGACTCTGTCTCCTCGACAGACCTGTTCTCCACCTGAGGACGGCTACTTGCGTTGTGGCCGAAACGTCGTGAGAATTATTGTATTATGTTTTATTTTTATTACATTATTATTTCAATTCTACGTGACTTTTTCCGAAAGAGCCAAGAAGATGAATCCCTGCAGCAGTCACGAAAGCTTTAAATCGAAAAGTTGTCAAGAAATTAGTTTTCAATCCAGACGCTTTTAAAGTGCATGGCTCCAGAGACACGAATGCGTTGGGGTTTTTCTTCAACGGTTTTACTAAACTTGACTCCTATGTTTGTCGTGGTCAAATCTTGTCATCAAAATTTCGTCCACTTCCTGTTGCACAATCAATTCCAAATTTTGCACACGTGCTCAGATTCGGTGACAATGCATGCCCGTATCAAAATCGATAAATCAATTAATTCGCTACTTTAAAGCAATTTACATTTTGTATGGCCGCCTTATTATTTATAGATATATTTGTGTAGGTATAAAAACGAAGCGTCCTCTAAACTCCAATCAATTCCAAATGTTGCACATGTGCTCAGATGCGGTGACATTGCATGCCCGTATCAAAATCGATAAATCAATTAATTCGCTACTTTAAAGCAATTATCATTTTCTATGGATGCCTTATTATTTATAGATATATTTGTGTAGGTAAAAAAACGCAGCGATCCCTAAACTCTCGAACCGCCTGCTCCGTGTGAACGAGTTACTGAAGTAAAAAATTAATTCAAGTAAGCGTTGATGTTGGAGCAGGCGCCGCATCATTGACGTACTTCTCGACCGCGAGCTAAACGAAGTTGATAATTAAAGCGTTGTTTTAAAAAGGAGTTTATTTATACCACGGGAACCTCATTTGCCAGTAAAAATATGATAATTGTTTTTTTTACCCTTCTATCTGGCAACAAAACTGACACCTTTTTACAAGGAGTCATGTTTGCATAGACCACAATACCTGCAGTCATAATGCAAACAAAAGACATAACTCTGATAATGTATGCACTGTCCTTGAAGTGCGCCTTTTGGCGTCATCTGGTCCAACCCATGTGAGACTAGGCTCTAAGGAAAGCTGTCTCGGGTGTGGACCAATCAACTTCAAAGACAGTGCACATTATCAGAGTTGTGTTATTTGTTTGTATTATGACTGCAGGTATTGCGGTCTGTGCAAACATGACTCCTTGTAAAAAGGTGTCAGTTTTGTTGCCAGATAGAAGGGTAAAAAAACAATTATCAGGAGTTTATTTAGATTTCGTCCAGCTTCATTCAAAGCCCTGGATTTGAATGCGGGGATCATCAGCGTTGCCATCTCAGAACTTTGACCCACCCCCCCCCCCCCCTGAGCACCAGCCAGGCCTTCTTTCTCTGAGCCAATTATAGTAACGATTCCCTGCCAAGGTGGATGAGTCATTCGAACAATGAAGCGCTTGAGCAAAGAGGTATATATATATATATCCGTGGCACGTGTGGGTTTTAACACAAGCGTCATCGAATACAAATTATGCGCCGCTGGGGATGAAATGTGACATTTTCGAGTAATTGCTGTGAAAATATTTTCACTGGCAAAAACATTTTTTTCTTGCAGCTGTGGATTTTTCTTTTTCCCCTTCTTCATTTGTCTAGAAGTTGGAGTTCCCGACACCACGTCAGCCTGGTGATGGTTCACGGGGATGGGGGGGGGTGGTGGGTTTGGGTATGAGTTTGGGACTTGGTGGTGAACTGGTCATTTAAAAGGTCTGTTACATCACATGGAGGCTCCAATGCGAACCAATTTGTTCCCAAAAGCGAGATGTTAACTACCTCCCCTAGTATACGGGAGGTTCGTGGGTTCGATCCCGATCCAGACACCTGTATATTTGGAATTTGCGTCTTTCTCTCTCTCTCCCCGTGGTCGCGTTGATTTTTCTCCGGGTTCTCTGGTTTTTCCCTCCACATTTGTAAACACGCGTTCAGAGTGTTTGGCTGCTATACATTTCCACGTGTTAAGCCACTTCGTGGGGCCATCATTTGTGACCAGGTCATTCGTGAAAAAGAGCTACAGAGCTCAGTGGGGACTTACCTGTTAAAATAAAATTAAAAATATTTTTTAAATTAATTTTTATTTGTTTTATTTGTATATCAATCAATGAATCAATAATAATACAAGTATCAAATGCTGGAAATGTCTTGGCTAGACAGAGGCTTCTAGCCACAGATGGTGAACAAGGAAGCGCCTCTTGCGCGCTGCTGTATTGTAACTGAACGAGCAACGGAAAGGATCACGCTCATAGGGTGCCGTCCATAAATGACGTCACGCGATTTTGGACGATTTTTGACCCCCACCCCCCCTCGTCACACGGCGTCACAAAAAGTCAGACGCCCCCCTCAAATATGACGTCACAAAGCTCTGCCCCCCCCCCACCCCAAAACCATATTTCCATTTTGAAAATAAAACATGCTTGAAATAGCTTTCAACTAATGTCATTGTAGTGCGTATTTAATGTTGGCGCTGCACTCTGATGTTGTAGGAATTGTTATAACAATTCTATATTTATTTAAAGTTGCGCATTTTGATGTGACGTCACATTTCTCAACCTCCCCCCCCCACCCCTCGTCACACATCGTCACAAATATCTGACCCCCCCCCCCCCCCCTAGGTGCGTGACGTCATTTATGGACGGCCCCTAGCGAAATGCGGCCGCTGTTTTTCCCTGTTCGCGTAGAATGTGTCCGCGCGGAATATGTCCGCGCACTGCCGTGATTATTGCAGGGGGCATGATCGCGATGCCACTGACCATTATGATGACGTCACCGACCGTTACGATGACGTCACCGACCGTCGTGATGTCACTGACCATTACGATGACGTCACCGACCATTGTGATGTCACCGACCGTTACAACGATGTCACTAACCGTTACGATGACGTCACCGACCATTGTGATGTCACTGACCGTTACGATGACGTCACCGACCATTGTGATGTCACCGACCGTTACGATGACGTCACCGACCATTGTGATGTCACCGACCATTACGATGACGTCACCGACCATTGTGATGTCACCGACCGTTACAACGATGTCACTAACCGTTACGATGACGTCACCGACCATTGTGATGTCACTGACCATTACGATGACGTCACCGACCGTTACGATGACATCACCGACCATTGTGATGTCACCGACCGTTACGATGACTTCTGCGACCATTGTGATGTCACCGACCATTACGATGACGTCTCCGACCATTGTGATGTCACCGACCGTTACGATGACGTCACCGACCATTGTGATGTCACCGACCGTTACGATGACATCACCGACCATTGTGATGTCACCGACCGTTACGATGACTTCTGCGACCATTGTGATGTCACCGACCGTTACGATGACGTCTCCGACCATTGTGATGTCACCGACCGTTACGATGACGTCACCGACCATTGTGATGTCACCGACCGTTACGATGACGTCACCGACCATTGTGATGTCACCGACCATTACGATGACGTCACCGACCATTGTGATGTCACCGACCGTTACGATGACGTCACCGACCATTGTGATGTCACCGACCGTTACGATGACGTCACCGACCATTGTGATGTCACCGACCGTTACGATGACGCCACCGACCATTGTGATGTCACCGACCGTTACGATGACGTCACCGACCATTGTGATGTCACCGACCATTACGATGACGCCACCGACCATTGTGATGTCACCGACCATTACGATGACGTCACCGACCATTGTGATGTCACCGACCGTTACGATGACGTCACCGACCATTGTGATGTCACCGACCGTTACGATGACGTCACCGACCATTGTGATGTCACCGACCATTACGATGACGCCACCGACCATTGTGATGTCACCGACCGTTACGATGACGCCACCGACCATTGTGATGTCACCGACCGTTACGATGACGTCACCGACCATTGTGATGTCACCGACCGTTACGATGACGTCACCGACCATTGTGATGTCACCGACCATTACGATGACGCCACCGACCATTGTGATGTCACCGACCGTTACGATGACGCCACCGACCATTGTGATGTCACCGACCATTACGATGACGTCACCGACCATTGTGATGTCACCGACCGTTACGATGACGTCACCGACCATTGTGATGTCACCGACCGTTACGATGACGTCACCGACCATTGTGATGTCACCGACCATTACGATGACGCCACCGACCATTGTGATGTCACCGACCGTTACGATGACGTCACCGACCATTGTGATGTCACCGACCGTTACGATGACGTCACCGACCATTGTGATGTCACCGACCGTTACGATGACGTCACCGACCATTGTGATGTCACCGACCGTTACGATGACGTCACCGACCATTGTGATGTCACCGACCGTTACGATGACGTCACCGACCATTGTGATGTCACCGACCATTACGATGACGTCACCGACCATTGTGATGTCACCAACCGTTACGATGACGCCACCGACCATTGTGATGTCACCGACCATTACGATGACGTCACCGACCTTTCACGACGACGTTGGAGCCGGTCGTTGACCCCGCCCCGTGCCCTCTGCCCCCCCCCCCCCCACAGCCAAGACGGTGATGGAGCTGGCCAACTCGGCGGGCGTCACCAACTTCGTGGACATGTTTGCCGAGGCGGGCCTCATGAAGAGCCTGAAGCCCGGGGTCGACTACACACTGCTGGCGCCCAACAACGAGGCAACGGACGGTACGGAGCCGCGTGCTCGCCCGCTCACCCGCTCACCCGCTCACCCGCACACCCGCTCACCCACACACCCGCTCACCCGCTCACCCACACTCCCGCTCACCCGCTCACCCGCTCACCCACACACCCGCTCGCCCGCTCACCCGCTCACCCGCTCACCCGCTCAACCACTCACCCGCTCTCACCCGCTCAACCGCTCACCCGCTCGCCATCTCGCCCGCTCGCCCGCTCGCCCGCTCGCCCGCTCACCATCTCGCCCGCTCACCCGCTCGCCCGCTCACCCGCTCGCCCGCTCACCATCTCGCCCGCTCACCCGCTCGCCCGCTCACCCGCTCGCCCGCTCACCATCTCACCGGCTCACCCGCTCACCCGCTTACCCGCTCACCCGCTCACCATCTCACCCGCTCACCTGCTCACCCGCTCACCCGCTCGCCCGCTCACCATCTCACCCGCTCACCCGCTCACCCGCTCACCATCTCACCCGCTCACCCGCTCACCCGCTCACCCGCTCAGCCGCTCACCCGCTCACCCGCTCACCATCTCACCCGCTCACCCGCTCACCCGCTCACCCGCTCGCCCGCTCACCATCTCACCCGCTCACCCGCTCACCCGCTCACCATCTCACCCGCTCACCCGCTCACCCGCTCACCCGCTCACCCGCTCAGCCGCTCACCCGCTCACCCGCTCACCATCTCACCCGCTCACCCGCTCACCCGCTCACCCGCTCGCCCGCTCACCCGCTCCCCCCTCGCGGTGGAAAAAAACACAGAGCTGCACGGCGCTTGCTTGTCATCACTCGCTCACCACCGCACGCTCGCTACACCCAGAGCCGGCCCAGCCACTAAGCGACCCTTGCAATTGCAAAGGGCCCCGTGGCCAGCAGAAGGCCCCCTAGAGTCACTGCTAGCGAGTGGGTGAAAAAAATCATACATCAAAGGGGCCTCCAACCAAATTTTGCTTAGGGCCCCCAAAGGTCTAGGGCCGGTTCTGGCTACACCGCACTTGTTTTAACTCTCACTCACTACAGCAAACTCGCTGCACAACACTCGCTACACCACGCAGCTACGATCGGCACGGCTGGCTACACGTGTGGCGCGATAAAAGTTCAACAAACACACCGCACTCGCCGCACCGCTCACCACACACGCGCGCCACAAAAACCGCCGTGCTACCGAATTGGTTTCTTCGGTTTGTGTTGTGTGTGCGCGAGAGTCGGAGGCAGAGTGAAGCGAATTACCACGATGGTACGCCACTTGAATTCACACCGATTGTTTACCTCTCACTTTCAACATCCCGAACTGACCGGTCGGGTGAAGTGTGGCCAAAACAACCCCCAGAACCGGTACGGCACGGGGAGGTCTTCACTGCTGGATTGACGAAGGGCTGTTAAATATTATTTCGATTTAAAGCTTTCGTGACTGCAGGGATTCATCTTATTGGTTCTTTCGGTAAAGTCACGTAGAAGGGAAATAATAAAATAATGAAAAGAAAACATAATGAAATACAATTCTCACAAGAATTGTATTTAATTATGTTTTATATTTTTTATTCTCACAAGAATTGTATTTTATTATGTTTTATTTTTATTATTTTATTATTTCCCTTCTACGTGACTTTACCGAAAGAACCAAGAAGAAGATAATCATTATTATTTGGGGCATAGTAGACATTCTCATAGGCCCCCAAATTTGAATCGCCGCATTTCGCTCACAATGCCTCTTAGTCGAAGGGCAACTGCGGACGTTTACATAGCGCTGGTAGGAAAGCGTCGTGCATAATCATCGAACTCCTCCAACTATTCATCCTGAATAATGAGATCCAAGCACCGTCAGGATCGGGGACCAGAACAAATCCACCCGGACGAGGCTCACGAACAAAAACTCGTAATTCTAGATGTGAAGCTTTCGTGACTGCAAGGATTCATATTCTTAGGTTTTTTCGGTAAAGTCACGTAGGTCAAACATTAAAATTAATAAAAGTAAAATAAAAAAATAATAAAATCACGACGTTTCGGAGGCAACACAAGCTTCCGTCTTCAGGTGGAACCTTCACAGCCACGACAGCTGTATCAAGTAAATGAGAGATTGCAAGAGCTACCACTCCAACCATTATATAAACGGAGTGGTAGCTCCTGCAATCTCTCATTTACTTGATACAGCTGTCGTGGCTGTGACGGTTCCACCTGAAGACGGAAGCTTGTGTTGCCTCCGAAACGTCGTGATTTTTATTTTATTTTTATTTTACTTTTATTAATTTTAATGTTTTACCTACGTGACTTTACCGAAAAAACCTAAGAATATAAAAACCCGTAAATTGCGCGCGGCTCCGTGTAAGTGTCACCATTTCCGCGCGCGCTCTCCTCATGGGATACCAGCTTTAGAACATCCGGCCACTGATCCGCATAGGCTGGTTGCTGTATTGAAGCCCCGGTACAAGACTTTGTGTGCATCGAGTTGTGTACGGGGACTTGAGGATTCGTGTGCTTTCCGCGCCCTTTTTTACATTCTGTGCGAGATCGCGCGGTGCGCTTTCAAATCTGGATTGAACACTCGGGACTTTTAGAACAACTTTGCTGCGTTTAGTTTGTTGTCCTTCCCACGTACGGTGCGAAAGAAGTTCAACGTACATACACACTGTACATAAACTAACACTGCCCATAGACTCAACACTGCCCACAGACTCAACACTACCCATAGACTCAACACTAACCACAGACTCAACACTGCCCATAGACTCAACACTGCCCAAAGACTAACACTGCCCATAGACTCAACACTAACCACAGACTCAACACTGCCCATAGACTCAACACTGCCCACAGACTAACACTGCCCATAGACTCAACACTAACCACAGACTCAACACTGCCCATAGACTCAACACTGCCCATAGACTCAACACTACCCATAGACTCAACACTGCCCATAGACTCAACACTAACCACAGACTCAACACTGCCCATAGACTCAACACTACACATAGACTCAACACTGCCCATCGACTAACACTGCCCATAGACTCAACACTGCCCATAGACTCAACACTACCCATAGACTCAACACTGCCCATAGACTAACACTACCCATAGACTCAACACTACCCATAGACTCAACACTACCCATAGACTCAACACTGCCCAAAGACTAACACTGCCCATAGACTCAACACTAACCACAGACTCAACACTGCCCATAGACTCAACACTACACATAGACTCAACACTGCCCATCGACTAACACTGCCCATAGACTCAACACTGCCCATAGACTCAACACTACCCACAGACTCAACACTGCCCACAGACTCAACATTACCCATAAACTCAACACTACCCATAGACTCAACACTGCCCACAGACTCAACACTGCCCATAGACTCAACACTGCCCACAGACTCAACACTACCCATAGACTAACACTGCCCATAGACTCAACACTGCCCACAGACTCAACACTACCCATAGACTAACACTACCCATAGACTCAACACTGCCCAAAGACTAACACTGCCCATAGACTCAACACTAACCACAGACTCAACACTGCCCATAGACTCAACACTGCCCATAGACTCAACACTGCCCACAGACTAACACTACACATAGACTCAACACTGCCCATCGACTAACACTGCCCATAGACTCAACACTGCCCATAGACTAACACTACCCATAGACTAACACTGCCCATAGACTCAACACTGCCCATAGACTAACACTGCCCATAGACTCAACACTGCCCACAGACTCAACACTACCCATAGACTCAACACTACCCATAGACTCAACACTACCCATAGACTCAACACTGCCCATAGACTAACACTACCCATAGACTAACACTGCCCATAGACTCAACACTACCCATAGACTCAACACTGCCCATAGACTAACACTGCCCATAGACTCAACACTGCCCACAGACTCAACACTACCCATAGACTCAACACTGCCCATAGACTAACACTGCCCATAGACTCAACACTGCCCACAGACTCAACATTACCCTTAGACTTAACACTGCCCACAGACTAACACTGCCCATAGACTCAACACTGCCCACAGACTCAGCACTGCCCATAGACTCAACACTACCCATAGACTCAACACTGCACATAGACTAACACTACCCATAGACTCAACACTGCCCATAGACTAACACTGCCCATAGACTCAACACTGCCCATAGACTCAACACTGCCCATAGACTAACACTAGTCATAGACTAACACTACCCATAGACTAACACTACCCATAGACTAACACTGCCCATAGACTCAACACTGCCCACAGACTCAACATTACCCTTAGACTTAACACTGCCCACAGACTAACACTGCCCATAGACTCAGCACTGCCCACGGACTCAACACTGCCCATAGACTCAACACTGCCCATAGACTCAACACTACCCATAGACTCAACACTGCCCATAAACTAACACTGTCCATAGGCTCGACACTGCACCTGCGATTGGCAAGGTTGGCCACGTACCGTGACTAAATAAGTTCAACACGCGTACAACACTCTCACGAAATATAGATGCGAACTCTGCGGAAAATGCATGTGAACATCACACACGCTCTTCAACACATGTGCGTGGCTAAGCAGAGTTGACGCGAACGGAGTTCACTTCACGCACAGCGCGCGTACTCATTGCACGCTCGAACACAAAGGACACTGACACAGAATCTACCCTCCGTGCAAGTGCTGCTAGCCAGCGCGTTATTAATGCGCTCATGGCACAGGCGTACGGGTTGCTCTGTGCCGTAAGCCCGGGATCCCGAGTTCAATTCCCAAGTCGCGTGAAAATAAACAAACGCAGTGCTGCACGTGGGCTGCCACTGGACAGCGAGCAGAGATCGACTTACGGCGCTCCTTTGTTCCGAACTCGCAAACGCTAATTGAGGCGCAAGGGGTAGAGACCACGTGGGATTACCCCCGCGCAGAAACACAACGCTCCGTGCCAGCGTCGCACTGAGCCAAACACAATTTTTGCTAGCTGGATTAACTTGAACATTCATATCAATTGTACAACGTTCCCCCCCACACAGCCGAAAGGGAGGAATGGCTACATTTTGAATAAGCGTGGGCTCTCGCGAGCAATGTTTTGATTAATAATTTAAACATTTTTTTGGGTCAGATCTCCGCGTGAGTCCACTGCCAATATCGTGTCGTACGCCCTTCTTCACCCGGCGACACAGCCAAATAAGTCAAGCTGCCACGTGGCAAACGAACGCTGCCGATTAATTGTCGTGTCAACGCCGCCGGTAATGCCGCGTTGTAACACGTGGGTACAGACGTTTCGCCGCTAGTTAGGGGCCGTCCATAAATGACGTCACGCACCTAGATGGGTGGGGGGGGGGGTCAGACATTTGTGACGATGTGTGACGAGGCGGGAGGGGGGTTTAGAAATGTGACGTCACGTAAAAATGCGCAATTTTAAATAAATATAGAATTGTTATAACAACACTCCCTCCCCTCGGTGCGTGACGTCATTTATGGACGGCCCCAAATACGTTTCTGTCCGCGAAGCAAATGAAGCGATGTCATCCTAACACTTGATCTCAATTCAAACGCGCAGCCTCCTAATTGTTATAACAACACTAATTGTTGTAACAACACTCCTACAACATCAGAGTAGCAGCGCCACATTAAACAAGCACTACAATGACAATAGTTTAAAGCGATTTGAAGCATGTTTTATTTTCAAAATGGAAACATGGTTTTGGGGGGGGGGGTGGGGGGCAGAGCTTTGTGACGTCATATTTGAGGGGGGGGGGGTCTGACTTTTTGTGACGCCATGTGACGTGGGGAGGAGGGGGTCAAAAATCGTCCAAAATCGCGTGACGTCATTTATGGACGGCCCCATATGACCAGCATCGTCGTCGTCATCGTCAATCAGGCGATTGCCACAATTGTTCGTACCGAATTGTTAAATGTGCGTGGTTCGCTCGCCAAAACATCACCGGTGGCGCATTTGTGGCAAATCGGTGATGTTTGTCCGTCACGTGACATCTGTGTTGAACATGGCTGCCTGTTAGCGTTGGTGGATGGCCTGGCCACACAGCGTTCAAGACCAAAAACTGGAAGACTTTTTCACAATTCTGGAGAATCGCCTGATGAAGATGGTTGTTGTAATCGCCCGGCGAAAACGCCGCGGTGCTGGAATTGCTAAACGTTGTTGTGGGTTTACTCTCTTGCACACACAACCCGGCAAGGTGAGGTGGTAACCAATTGCCACGTTTTGTTTAGGTGGCAAACCTTACTAATTGGGCCGTGTCGGGTGGCAGCCGTGGATTTAACGACACGGTAATTTTACGCGATCTAACCCCCCCCCCCAAAAAAACCCATTTACAATTAATATTAGACGCGAAAGCGTGTTAAAACAACATTGGCGTTTTTAAAATCCTTTATATTAAGTTCGCTTGCTTGCTTACGACCGTGCAAATCTTTCGGTCGTTTTTTAACCCACTTCCCGTGATCCAATCGAGCTGACATTTTCCACACAGACTCGCTGTGCGTGACAATTAATTTTTTGAAAAAAAATTCCAAAATTTTACACTGTTTAGGGAAATTTTTTTAAAATATTTAATTACCAATTGTTTAATGCTGGCAGACAATCATCTGACCCATAGGTGGCAGCCATCTCAAGCCAGAGGACGAAAGGACTCTAGCCGCCACGCATATAAAGGATTTATAGTGAAAAACTTTGTTTTTACGGGTTAATTTTTACTCACGCTGCAATCTGACCCGAACATTTATTATGGACGAGTGGCTGCATCACAGAGCACTGAAACCAGCGCTGTTTGACGCTCACAAGCCCAGCAGGTTGTCAGCGACACTGGAGTGTGATCACCCTCCGTGTCTCTTGAGAAGATTGTTCGGCGGCGAAGACGCGGCGGGCAAAACCGCTCTCTCGTTCGCTCATCCGAAGGGCGGAAGCCTTCGTCCAAAGAGTGCACTCTCCGTGCAAAGGTTCCCGACAGAATATTCGAGATGAACAAGACCGCATCAATTGCGTGCATGGGGTGTCTACTGGTGGACTTCTTTCGCACCATACGGAGGCAACCCTGCACAAAAAGCAGTTCTAACCGCATCTTCAATTAGCTAATGGTTGGTTGCGTATGGCGCGAAAGAAGTTGACCCGTACACGCGTAAAGAAAAACGCGTCTCCAATCCGGCTGATGTGAAAGTGCGTAGCCTCAAGCGGCTTTCTAACATCGCAAAACGAAGAGTGCTTCTAGACGGACGCGGGTGACCCCCCCCCACCCCCTCAACGTCTTGCGTGCCCCCCCCCCCCCCAATACCCCCGCAGGTCACGCCATGAGTTCACTGCCCATGGAGCTGCCCGAGCTGCTGCTCGACCACATCATCAAGGGGCAGGTGTCACCCTTCCAGCTCTACAACGGCCAGGTGCTGGAGACTCTGGGAGGCCGCAAAGTCCGCGTCTTCGTCTACCGCACGGTGAGTGGGTGGGGGAGGCGGAGTGGGTGGGGGGGGGGCGGAGTGGGTGGGTGGGAGACGGAGTGGGTGGGGGGGAGACGGAGTGGGTGGGGGGGGAGGCGGAGTGGGTGGGGGGGGCGGAGTGGGTGGGGGGGGGAGGCGGAGTGGGTGGGGGGGGCGGAGTGGGTGGGTGGGAGACGGAGTGGGTGGGGGGGAGGCGGAGTGGGTGGGGGGGGCGGAGTGGGTGGGGGGGAGGTGGAGTGGGTGGGAGACGGAGTGGGTGGGGGGGAGGCGGAGTGGGTGGGGGGGAGACTGAGTGGGTGGGGGGGAGGTGGAGTGGGTGGGGGGGAGGCGGAGTGGGTGGGGGGGGCGGAGTGGGTGGGGGGGGGGAGGCGGAGTGGGTGGGGGGGGCGGAGTGGGTGGGTGGGAGACGGAGTGGGTGGGGGGGAGGCGGAGTGGGTGGGGGGGCGGAGTGGGTGGGGGGGAGGTGGAGTGGGTGGGAGACGGAGTGGGTGGGGGGGAGGCGGAGTGGGTGGGGGGGGGAGGCGGAGTGGGTGGGGGGGGAGGCGGAGTGGGTGGGGGGGAGGCGGAGTGGGTGGGGGGGAGGCGGAGTGGGTGGGGGGGAGACGGAGTGGGTGGGGGGGGAGGCGGAGTGGGTGGGGGGAAGACGGAGTGGGTGGGGGGGTGACTGAGTGGGTGGGGGGGGAGGCGGAGTGGGTGGGGGGGAGGTGGAGTGGGTGGGGGGGAGGCGGAGTGGGTGGGGGGGAGACGGAGTGGGTGGGGGGGAGGCGGAGTGGGTGGGGGGGGAGGGGGAGTGGGTGGGGGGGAGACGGAGTGGGTGGGGGGAGACGGAGTGGGTGGGGGTGAGGCGGAGTGGGTGGGGGTGAGGCGGAGTGGGTGGGGGGGAGGCAGAGTGGGTGGGGGGGGAGACGGAGTGGGTGGGGGTGAGGCGGAGTGGGTGGGGGGGAGATGGAGTGGGTGGGGGGGAGGCAGAGTGGGTGGGAGGGAGACTGAGTGGGTGGGGGGGAGGCAGAGTGGGTGGGGCGGAGGCGGAGTGGGTTGGGGGGAGGTGGAGTGGGTGGGGGGGAGGCAGAGTGGGTGGGGGGGGAGGTGGAGTGGGTGGGGGGGGGGAGGCGGAGTGGGTGGGGGGGGGGAGGCGGAGTGGGTGGGGGGGGAGGCAGAGTGGGTGGGGGGAAGACGGAGTGGGTGGGGGGGTGACTGAGTGGGTGGGGGGGGAGGCGGAGTGGGTGGGGGGGAGGCGGAGTGGGTGGGGGGAAGACGGAGTGGGTGGGGGGGTGACTGAGTGGGTGGGGGGGGAGGCGGAGTGGGTGGGGGGGAGGCGGAGTGGGTGGGGGGGGAGGCGGAGTGGGTGGGGAGGGAGGTGGAGTGGGTGGGGGGGATGCCCATAGACTTACATTGCCCATAGAGTTAACATTGTCCATAGAAATAAAATTGCCCATAGACTTAACTTCTCTCATCCAAGGTGTATAATAATTATTTTTTATGTTGAATATTAGTAGTGCCACGTACATCACATCCTTGTCAATCCTGCGGTGGGGCAATTTAAGATCCTTGCCGTACCCACCCAGTAGCCGTGAGCTCGGTCGCACGTTCCACCCTCGTCAATTTCGGCTTTTTAGCGAAGACAAGAAACGCATGTCTATTGACGGTCCCATCATTGGCGCACAAATTGCAACCCAAGCGCACTCACGGGCACTAGCGGTAACGGGAAACTCTACAGCAACAAAAACGCCCGAAAGGTGGCCGTCCATAAATGACGTCACGCGATTTTGGAGGATTTTTGACCCCCCTCCCCCCCCCCTTCGTCACACGGCGTCACAAAAAGTCAGACCCCCCCTTAAATATGACGTCACAAAGCTCTGCCCCCCCCCAAAAAAAATATAAAACATGCTTCAAATCGCTTTAAACTATTGTCATTGAAGTGCGTATTGAATGTGGCGCTGCACTCTGATGTTGTAGGAAAAAACATTGATCAAAAAGTCTATTTAATTAAGTAGAACGTGTTGTCCATATTTATTTAAAGTTGCGTATTTTGATGTGACGTCACATTTCTCAACCCTCCCCCCCCATCGTCACACATCGTCACAAATGTCTGAGCCCCCCCCTCCCCTAGGCGCGTGACGTCATTTATGGACGGCCCCAAATACGTTTCTGTCCACGAAACAAATGAAGCGATGTCTTCCTACCACTTGATCTCAATTAAAACGCGCAGCCTCCTAATTGTTATAACAACACGAATTGTTCTCGCAACACTCCTACAACATCAGAGTGCAGCGCCACATTAAATACGCACTACAATGACAATAGTTTAAAGCGATTTGAAGCACGTTTTCTTTTCAAAATAGAAATGTTTTTTGGGGTGGGGGGGAGAGCAGAGCTTTGTGATGTCATATTTGAGGGGGGGGGGTGTCTGACTTTTTGTGACGCCGTGTGACGATGGGGGGAGGGGTGGGGGTCAAAAATCGTCCAAAATCGCGTGATGTCATTTCTGGACTGCCCCTAAGGCCCTCCGCCGGTTATTTAATGTTGCACTTGGACAAAAGCCATCCATCCCTCTCCCCATCGCCAGGCTGTTAATCGGCCGTGCAGCTTCACCGAGTAATATTTTTTTATAGAAACTGTTTCCCCCAGCGTGTCTGTCTCTCTCTGCGTTGGCGATCAGCGGCTATAGCAGCTCGCCCGCTTAATGTGTTTGACATTGGCTGCTTAAGTCCGGAGGCTTAGGTTTATGCTCTTTGGTTCTTTTGGGAAAGTCACGTAGGTAGAACAATTTAATAAGAATAATTACACTGGTCAACACACTTTTTCTGGCGTAAGGTATTCCAACGGTTTTGAGGTAATTTTGTTGGGTGCTGATTCCAAATCTGGTATCAGTTTTTGTCTATCACATCAGGTTTTTGAGATATCGAATATTGCATTTTCAATAAAAACTGCGGAAGAAAAATATTAAATAAATGTGGATATTTACATAAAATGATATTATAAACACACTATCCTAAAAATACAGCACCATATTTTAACACTAAAGCAGTCACTGACTCGCAACAACTTGCAATCATAAGTGACAGAGTTAATTTCGGGTAAAATCAAAAATCAATGAAAATGGGGTATGCCGATAGCATAGAAACGAGATGTGATAGAGCAAATCTGAGATCAGATTTGGAATCAGCACCCTGAAATTAGTCTAAAACAGCTGCAAAAGTCCAGGCCAGAAAATTATTTTTTTTGTTGACCAGCGTAATATATCACGACGTTTCGATCGCTACACAAGCGGTCTACTTCAGGCAGAAAAATAAGTATAACCCGTAAAAACAAAGTTTTTCACTCTAAATCCTTTATATGCGTGGCGGCTAGAGTCCTCTCGTCCTCTGGCTTGAGACGGCTGCCACCTATGGGTCAGATGATTGTCTGCCAGTATTAAGCAATTGGTAATTAAATATTTAATTTGTTTTCCCTAAACAGTGTAAAATTTTGCAAAAAAAATTTTAACGAACATTAATTGTCTCGCACAACGAGTCTGTGTGCAAAATGTCAGCTCGATTGGATCACGGGAAGTGGGTTAGAAAACGACCGAAAGATTTGCACGGTCGTAAGCAAGCAAGCAAGCACGCAAGCGAACTTAATATAAAGGATTTTAAAAACAAGTACGTCGCCCCCCCCACCTTCCCCCCTCCACCCCCCCCACCGTCTCTCCGCACCCCACCCCCACCACCGTCCCCGTCATCACACAAACTCCGGTCATCCCCACAGTAGCGGTGGCTTTCGGCTTACCGTCGAACAAAGACGTTCTCCGCATCACGGCGCTCTCAGGTGCGCTTCTGCGGCCGTCTGGAACGCTCTTCCTTCCGAAATTAGGAAGCCGCTGGGGCTATGATGAACTTTTAAACCATCGTCTAAATACAAAAACTCATTTCTTTGGAACTGCTTTTTTTCTGTTTGGTGCGTTGTCCTTTCCGCCGCACCTCCGATTATCACGGTTGGCTACGTACGGTGCGAAAGAAGTCCAACGTGCATGCGTGCATCTTTCACTCCAGAGAAGCTTCTAGACGTGTTCAGTCTTCACGGGGCTGGGATCGTCGTTGAGCGTAGCGGGCCCTTTAAAACCGTCACACAGCCCAACGTTGGCCTCACGTCAGCCCAACGTCGGCACATCACACTGGAAGCTGTCGCTTTGCCGTGCGACGCATTAAAAGCAACCGGGACGTTTGAGTTGACACATTAACTGATTTACGAAGTTAAAGTTCTCATGTGGCCTGTGCATCTCACGTGGCACGCCATGGGAGGCCTCGAACTTTCTCGTGGCTCTCGCCTTCGCATACGTACATATACACAACAACGACAACGACGACCACCATTCGCCACTAAGTGGCGGTGACGTCACCACGACGCTTGTGCCAGGCTAGGTGCACGTCGAGGCCACGTGAAGTGTCGAACTCCCGCTGGCAGGAGGTCACGGGGCAGACCCAGGTGCCACGGGTCGACTGACTGAGATGACTGGCCGATGCACCACCTGTGCCCCTTATTGTGGTAACGTACATATTTACAGAGACCAAGACAAAGATCCCCCGTGTAGCCTTAACAGACTGTAGGGGAAAGTGCTGTTCGCGAGCAGCTATGAAGGCCGGAACGGTACACGAGGGGGTGGGTGGCCAGCACCACGCCCGACCGCCTTTGTCTCCCCAGTGGCGATGTTTACACACCGCACCGGGTACTCATTTGAGGCTGAGCCGACCTAAGGGAGGCCCAGGACCGGTTCAAATAATCGTCACCGGTGTTGGCCGTGAGCGGGAATCGAACCCGGGTCGCCGGGTCCGTAGCGTAGCGCGCTGACCGCTACACCACTGCTCCCCAGCAAATGCGTACAATCACACACACACACGCACTTGCTTTTAATAAAGGATGCAAATTCAATTTTAACGACCCCGCATGCATTCCTCGGTCTCCTTTGGCTGGCTTTGTCTGTGGCTCCCTCGCTGCACTTAACCCACACTGCTTTTCCCTCAAGTCCTCTTCTGTCTGGCTTGTTTTGGTTCCATTCATCAAAACTCTGGCAAGACATCTCCCTGGAATGCCCAGTAAATGCGTCTCTCGATAGTTACCAAAGACTCTCCTTACGTAATGCTACGATGGCCCTTTTTTTCCCCGTAGGTCCGTGGGAAACTATTGCCTCTGTCCGCGTACTCCTGATGTTAAACTATTCATCAAACTCTTTCACTATTTCTTTGATGTTAGCAGGTGTAAGGGCCCACTGAGCTATGTAGCTCTTTTTCAGAAGCGACCTGGTCATCACAAATGATGGATATTTATAGCAGCCAAATACTCTAAAAGCGTGATGTTGATTATTAACGTGGAGGGGAAAACCGGAGGGCCCGGAGAAAAATCCACACTACCACGGGGAGAGAGAGACACGCAAACTCCTAAATATACAGCAGCAGGCGTCAGGGTCGGGATCGAACTCACGACCACCTGTACACCAGGCGAGGTAGTTAACATATCCTAGCCACCGTGATGATGATGAGAGAGAGAGACACACAAACTTGAAATATACAGCAGGCGCCAGGGTCGTGATGGAACCCACGACCTCCTGCATACCAGGCGAGGTATTTAACATGTCCTAGCCACCGTGATGATGATGATGAGAGAGAAACACACAAACTCCAAATATACAGCAGGCGTCAGGGTTGGCGATCGAACCCACGACCTGCATACCAGGCGAGGTAGTTAACATCTCCTAGCCACCGTGATGATGATGAGAGAGAGAGAGACACGCAAACTCCTAAATATACAGCAGGCGCCAGGGTCGGGATCGAACCCACGACCTCCTGCATACCAGGCGAGGTAGTTAACATCTCCTAGCCACCGTGATGATGATTAGAGAGAGAGAGGCACGCAAACTCCAAATATACAGCAGCAGGCGTCAGGGTAGGGATCGAACCCACGACCTCCTGCATACCAGGCGAGGTAGTTACCATCTCGCCAGACCCCGTCTCTCAACATTTCGACGGCGAAACCAGCCTCCCCTCCCCCCTGCCACCTTGCCGGGTTTCAGATGTCTTCATAGTCGTTTAAAACTCTTCCAAGGTCACGTTTAAGACCCCGGTCTTGAGAATAGATTTTGTTTTTTACGAGCTGAGCTTGAATCTGGGTCATCGTGTCGATTTGTCTTCAACATCGTAGCTGACCCCAGATGCATGCATGCACGCATAACGGGACGACAGCGAATTGACCGAGCAAAGCACAGCGTTAGTGACAAAGCCGATTTTTAAATCATCGAGATTGAAAACGCATTTCTTTAGAACTGCTTGTTCTGGTGTTTCGTTTTTTGTCCTTCATCCGCACCTCCAATTAGCGCGGTTGAGCTACGTACGGTGTGAAAGACGTTCAACATACAGTCATAGCGAAGTCTTCGTTTACAATCAAGTATTGCTTCATTTAAATCATTCTTGAATAACGCAGAAAAGCCTCAATGAGTTTCACAGCTGCTTCAGGCCGATGCCACACGGTGCCCGAATGTCAATCGATCATGAGAATAGGTTTTTTCCACTTTTATCTGGCAACAAAACAGGTGTTAAGTTTCGATTTAAAGCTTTTGTGACTGCAGGGATTCATCTTCTTGGTTCTTTCGGTAAAGTCGTGACTTTACCGAAAGAACCAAGAAAAATGTGTTAAGTTGTTAAAACACCAAACTGAAACCTTTACAAGGAATCGTGTCTGCATTAACCACAATACTTGTGGTCAGAATGCAAACCAAAAAGTACTCTGATAATATCTTTGGCATTGTCTTTTGAAACTGATTGGTCCACACCAGAGACGGCTTTCTTCTGAGCCTCGTCTCAGACGGTGTTAGACCAGAGGACGCCTTTTCGCGTGATTCCCTGTAAAATGTTTCAGTTTGGTATTTTAACAACTTAACACAGCCGTTTTGTTGCCAGATAAAAGGGGAAAACGAATTCTCATATGTTGGTACTGGCAAAGGAGGTCCCATGATGTCAGTCGATCAATCGACCTTAATTTTACGTGCCAATATCACCCTCAATAAAGTTGGGATCGGCCCACACTACAGCGGAGTGGGAACGGTACGGGGGGAGGGGGGAGGCATGGAGCAATCGGACTGAAGACGGAGACTACGTTACGATCGCGGCGGCTAATAACCGACCGAGCAGAGTAAAATTTGAACTGCGCGGCGAAAATGAACGTGCAACTGTGCGCAATGAATAGCGTAAGGATGCAGCAAATCTGGCTGTGACGGTCCCACCTGATGACGGAGACTTGTGTTGCCTCGGAAACGTCGTGATTTTTATTTGATTTTTACTTATTTTAATTTCATTTTTTACCTACGTGACTTTACCGAAAGAACTAACAGATTGAATCCTTGCAGTCACGAAAGCTTCAAATCTAGAAGGTAAGGTAGTAAATACGAATCAATTAAGTAAAGAGGCAGTTTTTTTTTTTACGTGTAAAAAAATTATAGTATGGGAAGGCGAGTCCGAGTGTTTCTTGATTCCATGGACCGCTAAATCAAGAGACACTTAAATTTCGAAGGGAAATAATAAAATAATAAAAATAAACATAATAAAATCATTCTCACGACGTTTCGGCCACAACGCAAGCAGCCATCCTCAGGTGAAGAACAAGTCTGTCGGAAAGACAGCGTCATTCAGAAGAACAGGTCTGTCGGAAAGACAGCGTCATTCAGACGCTGTCTTTCCGACAGGTCTGTCTTACGACAGGTCTGTCGGAAAGACAGACCTGTCGTAAGAATTGTATTTTATTATGTTTTATTTTTATTATTTTATTATTTCCCTTCTACGTGACTTTACCGAAAGAACCAAGAAGATGATATTTGTTGATCGCGCGTGTCTGGGCAGGCCATCTGCGTGGAGAACTCGTGCATCGCTTCCGTGGGCAAGGAAGGCCGCAACGGGCTGGTCCACGTCATGTCCAAGATCCTCACGGTGCCTCACAAGAACACGTGGCAGACGCTGCAGGAGGACGATGACCTCAGGTGAAGACGGTGACTGACGCCAACGATGATCATCGCGACGACGACGACGATGATGATTACGACCGCAGCTGCGCATATTTGCGCGGCTGGAAATTTTGGGCCGGTGGGCGGAGTGGGCTGGGGTGGGCGGAGGTGGGGGGGGTTTCTCGCGTCCTGCTGGAATACGATGGAATTGGAGCGATTTGAGATTTGATCCGACGACTCACTCGTCCGGGGAGAACGCCGGGGGGGATTGGAAGAGAAGTCCAATAGGGGTTTTTGTGGGTTTTTGTGGGTTTTTTGTGGGTTATTGTGGGTTTTTTGTGGGTTTTTGTGGGTTTTTTGTGTGTTTTATGTGGGGTTTTTGTGGGTTTTATGTCTTTTTTGTGGGTTGTTTGTGGGTTTTTGTGTGTGTTTTTGTGGGTTTTTGTGTTTTTTGTGTGTTTTTGTGGGTTTTTTTGTGGGTTTTTGTGGGTTTTTTGTGGGTTTTTTGTGTCTTTGTGTGTTTTTGTGTGTTTTTGTGTTTTATGTGGGTTTTTTGTGTGTTTTTGTGTGTTTTTGTGTGTTTTATGTGTGTTTTTTGTGGGTTTTTTGTGGGTTTTATGTGGGTTTTTCCTTTCCCCGCGACGTTCGGACTGCGCCCAGAAAACACCGTGTAAGCCATTGCCCAGTGTCTTGCGTGGGAAGCGTTACACATGTCGGTAAGTGCGCTTCCAAGGTACCATCGCGCGGGGTGCATTCCTGCAGAGGTCCGTTTTACCTTCCAACGCTCAGTCAATGAACTCCTTCCCTACCCCCCCCCATCCCCCTAGTTTTTTTATACCGTCATTTTTTTTATTCCGGTAAATTCTACGGTGAGTGGGCTTCAGCTGGCAGTCCAGCATCTCGCAGCCGTTCGGAGTGATCACCAAAGAGGTTGGCGATGGTGACGCAATGCCCCCCTCTGCGATGATGGCGCTGAACCGTCTGCTCCAACAGCTGCGGCAATGCCCCCCTCTGCGATGATGGCGGCGCTCCCGCAATGCCGATTCGTATGCCGGAGTCAGAATCGGAGTGTCTATTTTGGACCGCTGGAGGAATCCGATGAGCTAAGAAGCTCTTTTTCGACAAATGTTCAGTATGAGGAAGGGGGAGGGTGGGTCAGCAAGTTACAATTTAATGTACGCATGGTGAAATTCTTTCGCACAGTACGTAGCCAAACGTGGTAACCGGAGGTGACGACTTTGCCATGTGAAAAGCAACAGCATTCACCATTGGAATCTCATTTATACCATTGGAACCTCATTTGCCAGTAAAAAATATGATAATTGTTTTTTTACCCTTCTATCTGGCAACAAAACTGACACCTTTTTTTACAAGGAGTCATGTTTACATAGACCACAATACCTGCAAGTCATAATGCAAACAAAAAACATAACTGATAATGTGCACTATACTTGAAGTTGATCGGGTGTGGACCAATCAACTTCAAGGACAGTGCACATTATCAGAGTTATGTTTTTTGTTTGTATTATGACTGCAGGTATTATTGTCTATGTAAACATGACTCCTTGTTAAATAGGTGTCAGTTTTGTTGCCAGATAGAAGGGTAAAAAACAAATTGGCACAGTGTTGTGTGTGTTATTTGTGCTTTGTGCACCAACTACCAATGCGGCAGCAGCAGCATCGCTGATTAATATTTTTTCGCAGGCAGGTCAATAGTGATGACTTTGCCATGTCATAGTTAGAACATGCTCAACTACAAAAAAATAATCTATTTTAGTTTTCTACATTCTGGCTTTTGTCATATCTAAAAGCTTCTGTCCCACTGGGAGTCGTTGTGCTAAAGATTTAAAACCATCTGCCTACGTTCACGACCGGCGGAAACCGAACCAAAGTTTCTGTCTAACGAGACGCAATAGGCAGGAGTCCCACGCGGCACAGTCGTACGTACACATTTCGATACTTTGCTAGGTTATTTAATTTAGTGTGTTCTGTCTCCTTCTAAGCCTGCTTACCTTACTCCCCTCCCTTCGTACTCATTGACATGTAAATGTTTTCCCTACCCCCTCCCTCTCTCTGCCTCCGCCCCCCTCTGTCTATTTAAGGCCACTCCACAGAGACGATCACCCCTCTCTGTACCTGGGTTGCTCTCTCTATATGTATCTTGGTGATATCTGTCTGCTTATATGTCTGTCTGTAGTTTTCTGGTTAGATTCTATGTCGCTATTTCATTTATACCTGATGATGATTGCTTGTGTTGCAATCGAAACGTCGTATGCTATTATTTAATTGATTATTTTATCTTTATACGTGACTTTACCGAAAAAACCAAAGAATAATTCCTGCAGTCACGAAAGCTCCAAAATTAAGATCGTACGTACACATGTTCTACATCAGGGGTCGGGAACCTTTTTGACTGGGAGAGCCATTAAAGCCAAATATTTCTAAATATATTTCATTGAGAGCCATATAGTATTTTTAACGTATAATAAATTAAATATGTCTTACTTTTAATGCGACTTCTGGTCACGGGACCCGTGACCCGAGAAATGTTATCTTCAAAACTAATTTCTGTTTACTTTAAAATGACACAGTATTATTAAGCAATATCACAAGTATTTTAAAATCAGTTCCAAACTGATTTTATTTTTATTTATTTTTTTCATTTTTTTCAACTCAAAATTGTCTGGGAGCCATATGCCGTCACCGGAAGAGCCATATATGGCTCGCGAGCCATAGGTTCCCAACCGCTGTTCTACGTACTTTGAACTTTTTTTGCACCGTGCGTAGTCAACCGTGCTAATCGGAGCTGCTGGGGAAGGACAACAAGCGAAACACAAAAAGCAGTTCGAAAGAAATTCGTCGTCAATGCAGAAGATTTAAAAGCGCATAGCTCCAGTGGCTTCCTAATATCGGAAGCAAGAGCGTTCCAGACGGCCGCAGAAGCGCGTCTGAACGCGCCGTCTGCGTTCGACTGCCGAGCCAAAAGCCGCCGCCGCCGCTGCTGCTGCAAGGATGTCAACCTGAGTTCGCGTGATGGTGGCTTCGTTTTGTTGGTTCTTTCGGTAAAGTCATGTAGAATGGAAGTAATAAAATAATAAAAATAAAACATAATAAAATTTCGATTTAAAGCTTTCGTGACTGCAGGGATTCATCTTCTTGGTTCTTTCGGTAAAGTCACGTAGAAGGGAAATAATAAAATAATAAAAATAAAACATGAAGTAATTCTCACGACGTTTCGGCCACAACGCAAGCAGCCGTCCTCAGCTGAAGAACAGGTCTGTCGAGAAGACAGTCACGAAATCTTTAAATCGAAATTTAACGGCTTCGTTGCTCCTTGACCAGATCGGAAAGCTATTGCGGTTCACGTGTGGCGAGCGCTTTGTGCGTACGTGTGATGAGTTAATGTGCCAGGGAATTCAGCGATTCGGAGACGATGGAGGAGCGGCGATTCATGTCAAGGCTACTGGAAGGGGAAAAAAATTAACCCGTAAAAACAAAGTTTTTCACTATAAATCCTTTATATGTGTGGCGGCTAGAGTCCTCTCGTCCTCTGGCTTGAGATGGCTGCCACCTATGGGTCAGATGATTGCCTGCCACCATTAAGCAATTGGTAATTAAATAAATAAAAAAATTCCTAAAAAGTGTAACATTTTGTGAAAAAAATTTCACGAAAATAAATTGTGACACACAACGAGTCTGTGTGCAAAATGTCAGCTCGATTGGATCACGGGAAGTGGGTTAAAAAACGACCGAAAGATTTGCACGGCCGTAAGCGCGCAAGCAAGCAAGTGAACTTAATATAAAGGATTTAAGAAAGGGCACTGTCACACTGCGGTGTTGGGGAATTATGTGGAACCGAGTGGTCCGGACCCGTCCTGAATTTGATCAGCGAGCAGAGAGAAGTGGCAATTTGAGGGGAGATCAAAGTGGATTCACACGAGGGATGCGTTGCAGCGTTTGAACATTCGGCTCGGGCAAATACGCAAGGGCTTGGAATATTTTTTCGACTTAAAAAACTTTCGTGACTGCAGGAATTCATATTCTTGGTTCTTTCGGTAAAGTCACGTAAATAGAAAAAAAAAAAAGTGAAGATGATCTTTGGATTGGTGTTGTAGGCTCTGAGCAGCGCCGTGAATGTTTTTTACAAAGGGATGTCATATTTGCACACGTATTGCAAGCGAGACGGCACACGTTCAGTCGCGGTACATGAACGTCGTGCAAGTTTGTCAAAACATCCGACGCCGAGACCATCTTCGCGATTAATTCAGGCGTCATTCGACTTACTGCAGGAGGCAGGGTCATATAATAAGTACAATAAGGAGTAAGTTAATTTCGAGTTCACTGTTTCCCTACAGCTTATCTTGTGTATCTTTTTGTCTTGAACTCAGATTCTAAAATAAACTACGAAACTATTTTTTTTTCGATTTAAAGCTTTCGTGACTGCAGGGATTCATCTTCTTGGTTCTTTCGGTAAAGTCACGTAGAAGAAAATAATAAAATAATAATAATAAAACGTAATAAAAGAATACAATAATAATAATACAATAATACAATAATTATTATCTTCCCTTCTACGTCACTTTACCGAAAGAACCAAGAAGATAAACTACGAAACTATTTTTATTTCACCAGGTAAGCCCCACTGAGCTATGTAGCTCTTTTCAGAAGCGACCTGGCCACCACAAATGATCACTCAACAAAGTGGCTTATCATCATTTGTAAATTTATAGCAGCCAAATACTCTTAACGCGTGATGTTGATTTTAAATGTCGAGGGGGGAAACCGTAGGACCCGTAGAAAAATCCACGCGACCACGGGGAGAGAGAGAGAGACGCAGAATCCAAATATACAGCAGGCGTCAGGGTCGGGATCGAACATCTCGCCACCATGGCATTTCAGCCGGCAAGGCCCCATTGAGTTCAGCGGCTCCGTTGCAAGGACAACCACAGCCCAAGACCATCGGCAGTGGTGGCAGCCACAGGACATCGCAGTCCCGTAGAGTTACAGAGAGTTACACAGAGACACGTAGGTAAAAAATGTAAATTAATAAAAGTAAAATAAAACAAAATAAAAATCACGACGTTTCCGAAGCAACACAAGCCTCTGTCTTCAGGTGGAACCGTCACAGCCACGACAGCTGTATCAAGTAAATGAGAGAGATGGTATTTCTTGTGATCTCTCATTTACTTGATACAGCAGTCGTGGCTGTGATGGTTCCACCTGAAGACGGAGACTTGTGTTGCTTCCGAAACGTCGTGATTTTTATTTTGTTTTATTTTACTTTTATTAATTGACATTTTGTATCTACGTGACTTTACCGAAAAAACCTAAGAATATGAATCCTTGCAGTCACGAAAGCTTCAAATCTAGAGTTACACAGAGACGCATCGGGTTACATAGACACTCAACGACTCAGATTCTGATTTAGGCTTTATCTCAGCGGGTTCAAGTTCAAGTTCAAGTATTAGGTATAGCCCTGTGAGCCATTCGGCTCTTGAATCGGGTGCAACCGCAACAAACAAAAAACATGAACAAGAAAACACCTTAAAGTGAATGTGACTAAGTGCAAACAGAAAATCCAAGAAAAAACAGCAAAATATTGCAGAAAAAAGCACCGTACACCAACGCTGTGTGCAAAAATCCCAGTGGGATGCAAGTCAAACAACCAACAACAACAACCACAAGACAGCTTAGATTAAGGCCATCAGTCTAACTCTGTACTACAACAAACAAACATGGCTAAACCAATACACTTTTCGAAATCACCAAAATAAAGCCATGAAAGCAATGAAACAGTGATCCATTGATCTCAGCGGCTCCGTCGCAAGGACGACCACAGCCCAAGAGAAACGTCGGCAGTGGGTGGCGGTCACGTGCACGAAGCCCACGCCAACAAAAGCAATGTATAAATTATTCGTACAGATCTCGGGGAACTGAAATTACGGACGTTTTAGAGGCCAGCCAAGCGCGAGTGAGTAAGCTAGGCACAGGAAAGGCTTTGTCATCCATTGACCACGTTACACGCTATCAGTCAAACCCAAGACAAGACAAATGAATCTCGAATGCCATTACGCTCGGCGTTTGTGTATCGATTGTGAACATTCATTTGATTCAGCGGACACCGAAACGGACGTACAAGCCGTCGCGTATGAAGGCATCGACAGACAAGGACAAACGATAATTAATATGCACCGCTTTGGTTAAGCCGTCCAACTGATGTTTCTCCTCTGAAGTGTTATTTTTATATGCACAGATAACGAATTCACAGAATTGCAAAGGAAAAAAAAAGTACTTGCATCGAAACATTTCCGGTTTTCCGAAGACTAAATCCAATGGCACAGTTGCCCACGTGGCTGACACCCCATTTGTTAGGCCGCGTCGGAGGGATAATGGACGTTGTACCGACGCGATCTGAGCCCGCAACAAAAACCTCAATTACACTTTTCATACTCTTAGGTTTTTTCTTCGGTAAAGTGACGTAGGTAAAAAATTAAAATTAATAAAAGTAAAATAAAAATAAAATAAAAATCACGACGTTTCGGAGGCAACACAAGCTTCCGTCTTCAGGTGGAACCATCACAGCACGATAGCTGTATCAAGTGAGAGAAATTCCAAGAACACAGTATTTGTATATATACTGGTTGAGTGTGGGAGGAGCCAAGGTAGGTCCTGAATATTATTTTTGTGAGGTTCGGTGCGGCTGAAGCACGCTGTTAGGAATGAGCCTTTGTTGTGTAGACTAGGTGCGGATGATGTAAAGGTGCAAGTAAAATGGACTGAGCCTTTTTGTTATGTAGAGGTGGTGCGGCTGATATCGCTGCCAGGAAATGAGTCTTTGTTGTGTTGAATGGTTGACTGAGCCTTTTGTTATGTAGAGATGATGCGGCTGAAATCCTACCAGGAAATGAGTCTTTGTTGTGTAGAATGGTTGACTGAGCCTATTATTATGTAGAGGTGGTGCGGCTGAAATCCTGCCAGGAAATGAGTCTTTGTTGTGTAGAATGGTTGACTGAGCCTATTGTTATGTAGAGGTGGTGCGCTGAAATCGATGCTCAATACATTTTTTCTGGCATAAGGTATTCCAACGGGTTTAAGGTAATTTTGGGGTGCTGATTCGAAATCTGGCATCAGTTTTTGTCTATCACATCAGGTTTTTGAGATATCAAATATTGCATTTTCAAAAAAGAATTGCAGAAGAAAAATATGAAATAAATGTGGATATCTACATAAAATTATATTATAAACACACTATCCTAAAAATACAGTACTATATTTTAACACTAAAGCAGTCACTGACTCGCAACAACTTGCAATCATAAGTAACAGAGTTAATTTCTGGTAAAATCAATGAAAATGGGGTTTGCCGATAGCATAAAATGAGATGTGATAGATCAAATCTGAGATCAGATTCTGGAATCAGCACCCTGAAATTAGTCTAGAACAGCTGTACAAGTCCAGGCCAGAAATTTTTTTTTTGTTGACGATCGGGCCGCACGCGAATTTTTAAAGACCCCATGTTGACTGTAAATAATAATTAAGTGGGGGGCTTGGCGGACCCCCCCCCCCCGCTTTGTACTGTGACTGGTGCTTTGTGGGGGGCTCGTGTTGAGTGACAATTAAAACAAAATAATTGGATGCTTGACCCGAACGACGTCACTAGGAGGGTTGATGGATGACTTCATTAGTTCAATCATCACACACACAGCCTCTGTTGTTCCGCCCGTATATGCTACCGCTTGGCCACGTTTATCGTCATCACGGCTTACATTTCCAATCTCATGCCGACAACTCGCAGATTTACTTCGAGACCGTGACTGACGCCAACGTTTCAGTCTGCTTACTGTGTACGTTGTCTTCAATTCAGCTCTCCACATCGAGTGCAAAAATTGGATGGTCTTAACACGTAGGCTTTCGCGACAAATATTATTCATAATAGAGGTTTTTTGGGGTTAGCTCTGCCTGTCGCCTAATGATGCTGGTGGTAATTACCAGCGAAACGTCGCACTCGAATTATAAATGTTGTCAATTTACTCTCCACCACACCGGTGTGCTCAACTAGTCACGAATTGACACGTTTACGTGGCAAACCTTACTTACTATTTGGCTGTGTCGGGTGGTGGAGGGTTTAACGACACATTTATATTTAAGCGATCTAACGCAACAAAAACCTCCTATGGATGGTTTGACTATGGCCATAGATGAGACTGGAATTCGGTCTCACTCTGAGGTCAGAAACTTGCGTGTTATCCTGAGAGCGCAGTTTGACATTTGTAGTTCTACTTTTATGTACAGCGCTTTGAGATACTTCAGTATGAAAGGTTCTAGATTTGAAGCTTTCGTGACTGCAGGGATTCATATTCTTAGGTTTTTTCTGTAAAGTCACGTAGGTAAAAAACATTAAAAAGTAAAATAAAATAAAAATAAAAATCACGACGTTTCGGAGGCAACACAAGCTTCCGTCTTCAGGTGGAACCGTCACAGCCACGACAGCTCTATCAAGTAAATGAGAGATTACAAGAGCTACCACTCCGTTTATATAAAAAGTGTGCTGCACTTGGCCCTTCCCCTCTCCAACCATTATATAAACGGAGTGGTAGCTCTTGTAATCTCTCATTTACTTGATAGAGCTGTCGTGGCTGTGACGGTACCACCTGAAGACGGAAGCTTGTGTTGCCTCCGAAACGTCGTGATTTTTTTATTTTTTATATTTTACTTTTATTAATTACAAATTTTTCATCTACGTGACTTTACCGAAAAAACCTAAGAATATGTGCTTCATAAAGTAGAGGTTATTATTATCATTCAACAAACTTAACACAGGGCTGTGCATTGAACAATTTAAACCCACTTTTCTGCATTGAACAATTTAAACCCAGGGGTTCTGCATTGAACAATTTAACCCCAGGGGCTGTACATTGAACTCCTCAACACATGAGGGCCGTGCATTCAACGAAACAAACCCCGGCAACGTGTCCCCCTGCTCTTGTTGGCAGCATCCTGGTGGAGCTGATCAAGCGAGCGGACATGGGCGACCTGTTCAGTAAGCCGGGCGAGTACACCATCTTCGCTCCCACCAACAAGGCCTTCGCCGCTGTGCCCCAGCAGGAGCTCGACCGGATAAAAGGTGCGGCACCTCGCTTTTGCACGCACGCCTACACACACACACAGACAAAGACAAAGATCCCCACCCCGGTACGGCCTGGACAAGCTGTTGGGGCAAGTGCCGTTAGCGAATAGCAGCACCTGTGAAGGCCGGCACTGCGGGATGAGAGGGGGTGGGTGGCCAGCAACTACGCCCGGCCGCGATGTTGACACACCGCAACAGGTGCTCATTTGAGGCTGAGTCGGCCTAGAGGATGGCCCGGTTCAGATATTCGTCACTGATGCTGGCAGCGCGCGGGAGTCGAACTCGGTTTGCCGGGTTCGTAGCGAACGTTTACGACAACAACACAGCCACCATTCGTGATTAAGTAGCGGTGACATCACCGCAGCGCTTGTGCCAGGCTATGTGCATTTTCAGCCCACGTGACGTGTCGAACGCCCACTGGCAGGAGGTCACGGGACAGACCCAGGTGCCACGGATTGATTGAGATGACTGGCCGACACACGACCTGTGCCCCCTACTGTGCCAACTTGCTGTGTTTTAGCCACCCGTGCTCTGCTCGTTGTTGTGAGCATCGCTCATCTGTCCTCTGTTGTTGCTGGAGGGCGACTGCCTCCAACTGCCCAGTAGCGTCCTTCACGAGCCTCCTCCACTGAGGCCGATCTTGACACCGCTGGTACCAGTCATCGGCAAGTCCACTCAGCTCCACGTCCTCCTGTACCACATCACTCCATCTCTTCTCTAGCCCGTGCCATGGCCATTTCGCCCACACACACAAAGATTAGCACGTACGAAGGCCGGCGAAGCACACGAGTTGTTTACTCTACGCAGCATTTACACTATTCATTTAAGGCTGAGTCGACCTAGGGGAGGCACCGTGACAGATTCCGATATTTGTTACTGCTGTTGGCCTTGAGCAGGAATCGAACTCGTGTCACCAGGTTCGGAGCGCTCACGTATACAACAACAACACTATTATATTATTTTATTATGTTTAATTATTATTTTATTATTTCCATTCTACGTGACTTTACCGAAAGAACCAAGAAGATGAATCCCTGCAGACACGGAGACACACAGACAGATACACAAGCAGAGAGAGACAACACAGACACACAGAGAAAGACCCACAACAGAGACACACAGAGAGATTCAACACAGTCTTTCTCTGTGTTTCTCTGTGTTGCCTCTCTCTGCTTGTGTGTCTGTCTGTGTGTCTATGTTGTGTGTCTCTCTCAGTGTGTCTCTGTGTTGTCACTCTCTGTGTGTCTATGTTGTGTGTCTCTCCCTGTGTGTCTCTGTGTTGTCTCTCTCTGTGTGTCTATGTTTTGTGTGTCTCTCCCTGTGTGTCTCTGTGTTGTCTCTCTCTGCTTGTGTGTCTGTCTGTGTGTCTCCGTGTCTGTGTTTGTCTCTCTGTGTGTCTATGTTGTGTGTCTCTCCCTGTGTGTCTCTGTGTTGTCTCTCTCTGTGTGTCTATGTTTTGTGTGTCTCCGTGTCTGTGTTTGTCTCTCTGTGTGTCTATGTTGTGTGTCTCTCCCTGTGTGTCTCTGTGTTGTCTCTCTCTGCTTGTGTGTCTGTCTGTGTGTCTCCGTGTCTGTGTTTGTCTCTCTCTCAAATTTAGTTCTACCTGACGACGAATGCTTTTGTTGCAATCGAAACGTCGTATTCTATTATCTAATTTCTTTTCCTTCTACGTTACTTTACCAAAATAACCAAAGAGTAAGATAAAATTGGCTTCCAGTCGAGCCTCCCACCAATCCACTCTTCGTAGCCCGGCAACCTGGTGGGCCTTGGGTGCAGTTGCACCGCCTACACACTCAGTATCCACGCCACCGGGTGCCCTGTTGAAGCCCTGAGCCACATTCCGCTGTGCGCGGGCGTGTGGGATGCTTCCAATTTTGATCTCACCAGTCAACGCGACGGGCGTCCGTTGCGCTCACACATGGTTCCTGTCTTCAATGAATGGCTTCGGACAAGAAAACGGGGGTGGGGTGCTTATTCAGCGGGCAAGATGATTGCCAGACTACTTTAAATTACAATAAAAACAGTCTGGCGGTTGTGTAAGACCGGTAATTAAAGATTATTAAGGCGGTGATATCATGAACTGGTCATTCGCCCACGTTATACTCAATTAGTGTACTTGGTTTTCTGGAACGAGAGCAATAAACCCCGCGTGCAAGGATGATGTCTGTCTTTTTAAATCCTTTATATTGAGTTCACTTGCTTGCTTGCTTGCGCGCTTACGACCGTGCAAATCTTTCGGTCGTTTTTTAACCCACTTCCCGTGAACCAATCGAGCTGACATTTAACACACAGACTCGTTGTGCGTGACAATTTATTTTCGTGAAAATTTTTTTCCAAAATTTTACACTTTTTAGGAAAAAATAAATTATATTTAATTACCAATTGCTTAATGGTGGCAGGCAATCATCTGACCCATAGGTGGCAGCCATCTCAAGCCAGAGGACGAGAGGACTCTAGCCGCCACGCATATAAAGGATTTATAGTGAAAAACTTTGTTTTTACGGGTTAATTTTTTCGAAGCAATTTTGAACGCGGTCAAATGCGACCAGTTGAACGCTCGCTGCGCGGTTGTGGAAACTTTGGACGACCGCCGGACGCGTAATAGATGTGCTTGGGTTCGATCGCGTAAATATATAAATGTGTCGTTAACCCCGTCACCACCCGACACAGCCAACTAGTAAGGGTTGTCACGCAAACAGAACGTGCCAATTCGTTACCGATACATCACACACCGATGTGTCGGAGAGCAAACGCTTTGATATTTTACGCGACCTCACCCAAAACCTTCTATTATGGATAATATTGTCCGCGAAAGCCCACCACGTGTTGAAATGACCAGCGGACGAATGGCTTTGTCCCAGCCTCAACTGCAAGTGAGCAGTGGCGGAGCCAGTGGGGGGGGGGTGGCACATGCCCCCCCCAATGATCCGATCGAAATTAAGGATTTCGATCGGATCATGGGGGTTTATTAGAAATAAATGGGAATTTTTCGACCCCCACTGCCACTGTGTAGCATATTATTACGTGCCAGGGACTCTATGAGATGATAGGACAATAGTCTGAGTCCATAATAGGCAATAAGTAACGGCAAAGCAGTTATAAGTGACTCACAGAATTATGCGCAGTTGCGTATATAGCACACGACTTCCCTTCAGCGAGCGCGATGCCGATCACACAACGCGGTTCGAATTCAACCCTCGATCGACGGCTGCGCCATCGCCGCACACGCGTCGAATAACAAGCAAGGGACAAGTCCTTACTTACTAACAACTCCTATAATTTTTCGATTTAAAGCTTTCGTGACTGCAGGGATTCATCTTCTTGGTTCTTTCGGTAAAGTCACGTAGAAGGGAAGTAATAAAATAATAAAAATAAAAACATAACAAAATAATTCTCACGACGTTTCGGCCACAAGGCAAGCAGCCGTCTTCTCGACAGACCTGTTTTCCACCTGAGGACGGCTGCTTGCGTTGTGGCCGAAACGTCGTGAGAATTATTTTGTTATGTTTTATTTTTATTATTTTATTACTTCCCTTCTACGTGATGACTTTACCGAAAGAACCAATAAGATGAATCCCTGCAGTCACGAAAGCTTTAAATCGAGAAATAAACATATCTGATCGGTAACGTATCGGGCAGTTAACCTTCACAGCACGCAGATGTCACTCTACCTCTCTGTCCTCTCTATGTGCCGTGAAGAAGGGCCAATACCCGAAACGTCGCCTATTACATTCTGCGTTTTCCTTGCATTTATGTGCGTTAAATTAATTTCGCATTGTGCGTAGCCAACCGCACTAATCTGAGGTGCGGGGGGGGGACAACAAACTATGGGTCTTTGTGTGAGTCTATGTGTCTCTGTGTGAGTATATGGGTGCCTATGTAAGTCTATGGGTCTCTGTGTGAGTGTATGGGTCTCTATGTGAGTCTATGGGTGCCTGTGTGAGTTTATGGGTCCATGTGTGAGTCTATGGGTCTCTGTGTGAGTCTATGGGTCTCCTTGTGAGTCTATGGGTCTCTGTGTGAGTCTATGTGTCTCTGTGTGAGTCTATGGGTGCCTATGTAAGTCTATGGGTCTCTGTGTGAGTGTATGGGTCTCTATGTGAGTCTATGGGTGCCTGTGTGAGTTTATGGGTCCATGTGTTAGTCTATGGGTCTCTGTGTGAGTCTATGGGTCTCCTTGTGATTCTATGGGTCTCTGTGTCCCTATGCGGTTCTATGGGTCTTTGTGAGTCTATGGGTCTTTGTGTGAGTCTATGGGTCTCTGTGTAGGTCTATGGGTCTCTGTGTGAGTCTATGGTCTCTGTGTGAGTCTATGGGTCTCTGTGTGAGTCTATGGGTCTCTGTGAATCTCTGGGTCTCTGCAGGAGTCTGGGTCTCTGTGTCAGTCTGTGGGTCTCTGTGTGAGTCTTTGGATCTCTGTGTGAGTCTATTAATCTCTGTGTAAGAATGTGTCTCTCTGTGAGTCTGTGGGTCTCTGTGTGAGTCTGTGGGTCTCTGTGTGAGTCGATGTATCTACGTATGTTGAACAGCATTTTCAAGGCCACAATGTTATTGACAGATGTGTCGAGTTTCTTTGCCTTTTTAACAGAGAGGCTAAAGGTGAACAAATAAAACATGGGGGTGGGCGCTCCGAACCGCTGGGTCATTTTTACAAATCATTTGATTGATTTCTGCCGCCAAAGCCGTTCATCTCCGTGGCGAATTGCCAGGTTAGTTTCTCCATCTACGGCAAAGGTCCCGGCAGTGACAGCGGTCACGGGCTTGAAGTCACGTGTGCCGCCAGTTTCCATATAGAAAGAAAAAAAAAATCCACCGTTTGAAATGTGTTAACGATTACGTTTTGATTTACATGCTTGCGTAAATATGAAACTGGCCCTGTGTATCTCCAGGCACCCAATTGATTTCTCGAAGACAACAAAAAAAATGAGAAAAAATTTAACCGTAAAAACAAAGTTTTTCACTATAAATCCTTTATATGCGTGGCGGCTAGAGTCCTC